CACACACACACACACACACACACACACACACACACACACACACACGACAGGTTTATTCCTAGAAGAACAGACGCAGAAGAAAAAAAACAGACTTACAAATCTCTCCAGTTCCAGGAGAGCCGGTCTGTCTGTGCTGCACTCTTGACTCTGCCACAGAGAGAAACAGTATTCAAACAGCTGATCGTAGGACTACACAACTGCTGCAATCTATGGCAACTTTCCACCTCACCGAAATTCTCAAATTGTATGCTCATGAAATAATATAACTTGTAAAAGTTTCTGATTGACAAATCCAAACATGAAAGACTTTTACAGAGGGGATGATTTGTGCTGCTGTTCAATAAAATAAGAAAATGAAAGATAAACATCTTTGTGCTGCTGTGCACACTCACACTCTCTCTCACACACACACACACACACACACACACACACACACCTACCTACCTTATGGCCGACAAACTACAGTGCCCATATAGCATAACGCATAACGCACACATTCTTAAAAAGTTAAGATGTAGCAGCAACCATCTGAACCTGTTGGAGTCTCTCCAGCTCCACTTTGTTTTGGCTGAGCAGCAGCTCCTTTTCTTGCAGCTCATCCTTAAGCGCCAGGTTCTCCTGCAGAACTTTTAAGTACAGCTAGAGAGAAATACACAAACAAAGATATTCAAACTACAACAGCCTGAAGATAAAAGCTCACATGTGCAGGTGGAAATAGCATGGGTAATGCTACAGTACGGCCTACTGGGGGTTTCTGTTCATTCCTTCCTACAGCTTACTGGGTATCACTCCTGTTCTGGCTGGTTTAGATATCAGCTATAATTCACTCTCAGCCCTCAGGTGTGTTGTATTTAGAAATATGTGAGCTGTTCTGTGAGAAAAGTGTCAGACACATACCGTTCTGTAGTCAGCTGATAAGTCCCCCAGTTGACTCTCACTGCAGAGACACACAAGAGACTTTTAAACACCCGAAAGAAAATCCTTCACACAAACAAAGGCTATACATTGATACAACTAAGAATTCACCATTATGTCCTGAAAATAACACTACATACAACTAGCAGGCCAAACCAGTTGGTGCACATACAAATTCAGAGCACACAGTCAAACATGTTTAAACAATCTTCCCCTGCGGCCATCATTTCAGACATTAAACACCACAACATGACTAAAATCCAGCTTTTTTCTTTTAAAAGGGAAAGAAATGCATAACCAAAAAGTAGTTTGTCTCTGAAATATGTGAAATTACAATAAAACATCACAGAGAGGAAAACACACTCACTTGTAGGTATTACTGTTTGTATCTTCCAAATGATCATCGTCATTTTCATTCTGAAAAACAAAAAGGCTCATGTTGTCAGCTGCACAACACTACAGTTAGAACAGCACTTTGCTTGCATGTCTAATCTGAAATAATACACTCAACAGAAAGCCCGGTTCTTTCATTAAGCCTTCTTCTATTTGGTTTCCCCCTTTAATAACTTTAAAATCAACTCATTCTTCTACACTGTCTGACAGTATAATCTGTATTAGCTTGTTCCTAACCCTTCTATCTTAATAAGGACATTTTGGCTGTTTTATTTTTTGATCATTTTGGCTGTTAATGCATGCGACATACAATTAGGCAAGGGTGTGAGTTCAACCTGAGCTCCTATGATAAGTCTATAATAAAATGTGTAGCCAAAATACAGTCACTTAGACCCTTAAGGACAAAAACGTCCCCATTGAAACCACAGTTTTTGATCCCATGGCCGTTACAGTCCATCATATGAAGCTTTTAATCAAGAGCTTGGGATGCAAAATAGTAGTTTTACCATTTTCCACCAGATAAAGCCAGTTTCTCATGATTATGCCTTGGGACAAATACACTGCTGTGTATGATGGAATGCATCCTAATCATTGACATTTTGTTTGTTTGATTTTTTTTGTGCTGCCTTGAGTCAGGCTCCTGTTCACTGTCGTGGTTCATTGTACAATAATGCCCAGCCTGCCGTACATTGTCCCTCGGTTATTATGAGTCCCTGATGGATAACACTCTTCATTGTGTGTAGAGGGAGAGTGTGCTTGTGCTCTCAACATTCTCAACAAAGCAAAATGTTATTTTAGGCATATATGTTGGCTACAGTTTTTATGGGGTTTCGCTGCAATGTATTTTATGAGATTATTGCACATTTTGTAGCCTTTTTTTGTTTCAATCAAAATCCTTGCAGTCCAGCATAAATATATAATGACCGCAAGTTTGCGGAAAGTATGACAGCTTGTATTTTTGTTGTGGTCTCCCCCCCTCACACTGCTGTATTCATGTACAGGCTTCCGGGGGTTCAAGCTCAATGGCGGCAACCGGATGCTCTGCACGTTATGGTGCAATGGCAGTGGTTTTTTTTTTAACAGCTGTATAACTGACTAAGATCTATTTCTCTTACTGAATGAAAGGTGAGAAGTAACATACGCTTCTAAAGGAAGGAAGTTCTCTCACTTTTCCCCTGTGTGCGTTTGTGTAAGCGCACATATGCGCGCACTATGTGAGAGATAGTTACACAGCCTACAGTCATTTACAGCCTTACGTGAGCCAGCCTGTACCTTCTGGTGAAGCAATTTTGATGAATATTGTAAATACAAATTCAAAAATGACTCGTGCTTTCAATGAATCTCCTTAATATGAGTGAATAAATCACCATAAGTTGCACTATTTTGCACAAATATGCAGGTTAATTATGACACTCTGGCGGGGTAGAATATACTCTGACGGGCCGCCACAGTCTAGGTAATCAATGGGAAACACTGCGGTGAGCTCTCTGCCATGTTTGAGATGATGTAAGGTTGTTTTCTTTCTTACCTCTCCGCTGGGCTGAACGATGCCAGTGGAGCGTCGCTCCCTCCTCCCTCTCCTCCTGTCCTTCACTCCCAGACGCTTCTCTCCCTCCAGCTCCACCTCGTTCACCAGGTCTGTATCTGAAACAACAGTCAACAACCTAACTAACCACGTCCCACGCCAGTGTGAAGATCCAAAGAAGAATGAATAACATGTAACAAACACGGCTAGAACACAAAAGGTGCTTAACAGATGCGTCACTGGAGCTCAGTTCAGGATTAATCTAAGCAACTATGGAATCAGGTAGATTAGTTTCCAAATGTAACTTTCTGTGAAACCGGAAGTTGTCATATCTTTGACCTCAGTTTCTACTTCCATCTCTGTAAGTTGAGAGTAGCGAGATTAGTTAACATGAACAAAATGCTCTGTTTGGCTTTGTGATCTTTAAAAAACGGACCGGATGTATTTGACTGATTTATGTAAACATGGTGTCACCGGATATATCAGACGAGGAAATGCTCAGTTCCCCATAAAAAAAAAAAAGAAAAAAGCATTGAGTGTGGGAAAGGGTGACCAAAACATAGTAAAGAGGAAGCAGTATACTACCCACGACATTATGAATATATGGTAGCCACCCTGCCAGATGAACCACACCTAACCCTCCACACCAGCAGCAGTGGCCCTTACAGCACGTGAGGAAACCTCAACCTTTCAAAACTATCCGGAAGAGCACTCCACCCACAATGTACAGCATGTTTGTATCTAGTATTACAGTAAATAGAAATGGCTCTAGCACTTCAGCCTCACTCACCCCTTTCAGCAGGTGTGACAGTAACGATGGGGCTGACAGGCTGGATGTTGCGAGGCGGTGGATCTGCAGCTTTAGGGACAGTCTTCTCTGCTTCTTTCAGGTCCGTCAGAGTCACACCCTGCCGGCACAGAGCAAAAACAAATCACTCAAAGACCTTATATTACAGTCCGAACTAAACAGTCTTCTTGGTGAAAATACACTGTCCCAAATAATGAAAATATTGATGCAAAGCATCATCTGTAACTCGGAAGGGGGGGGGCAGCATGATGCTGCTCTTACAGTCACTCATGTCCTGGAATAATACGGTTAAGCACAGCATTACTCAGTGGTTACACTTGTCTTTTCAGTGCAACTTTTTGTTTATCCGATCATGCCAGGACACATTAACTGTCAAGTCTGTAGGGCTGGCCCCTCTTAGACCACTTGATAAGGTCTTAGTCAACTAAGACTTCTTTAGTTGAGGTTCTTTATCAACTGTATGCTTTTCTTCATGCTGAATGAATGGTGTTCACAAAACTGATTAGCACATCTTTGGTAAACACAAGTGGTGCCTTTGTGGAAAAACTCAGTTTTACAGATCGAATGATTATATAGTCGACTGGTGATAGCTGCTGCCTCAAAATAAAAGTTTAAATTTCAAAATAAGGGGGGCTTTATTATGAAGAATCACCAAATTAGAGGAGCTCAGTCAGTGGCTATTCTTCAATAAAACAGGTCCACTCATACTCCATATGTTGTTAACACTGCTCTAGAAACATTTTTTTGTATATTGAAACACAAATATATTGCCTGTTACAAACCTTTTTTGCACATAATAAAACCGATGTGAAGCAGTACCTGTGTGGAGCGGCGAGACCGCCGCATCAGCCGAGAGCGAGCTTTCCTCTGAGACTCAGACTCTTCGTCTCTGACTGGAGCCTGGAACCTAAACACACCAACAAACACAAATAATATGCTCCATAAACAGTATTGTATACATTTTAACCATGATCATAACTCACATTTTTTACATTCAGAGAACCATTTGGGGACGGCATTTTTCATTTATTTATTAAATACAAAAATGTTTTGTGTTCCAAACACTGTGTTGTTTCTTACTTGCGCCTGTCAGTGTTGGGGGTGTTGGGGCTCTCGGCCGCCGCCTCCCTCGTCTGAGGGGTTGGTTGGACTCTGGCAGTGCGGTTCGCCTTGTCCTGATCATGCTCCTCCTCGCCTTTCTCCTCTGGTGTCTGAACCAAGTAAGACACAAGAAACAAGGCCATAGGCTTAACTGTAATCAACTGTCCCCAATTTAACTTTTCATTCATGGCCCCAATGTCAGCATAATGTTCATTTTAGTCAACATTCTTTAAAAAGTTAGTGGGCAGCAACTCTTGTGTAAAGTTACTGATGTTGTCAATGGAGTATTGTTCTTTTGAAGAGAGCATAGATGTTTATAACAGCTTCAGTTCCCCGTCAGTAAAGGCTATCTGACACCAAGGATAAGCGGTAGTGGTGTAACGCATCACGGATCGACCTGTGATCCGTTCGGATCAGCCCTCACGGTTCAGATCACTCGTGAACCGCGGATCAATTGAGTATTTTTTCTCTCTCTTTTTTACAGTTTAATCATCATAGTGTGTAGTACAGTTTTACTGCTGCTGTTCCTTTTCAAGTAACAAGTCCCCGAATATCAATGCAGAGTGTCAGTGAACAGATATAAAGCAGTAGTGTGTTCACGTGAACGGAGCAGGTTAAAAGCATTTAATGGCGAAAGTCATGGCGAGCGGAGGAACTTGAGAAGCCGCGGCGTCATTTAAGTCGCAAGTTTGGGAGAATTTTGTCTTAACCTGTAACTTATAATGACAGATAAGGGTGGTGGACGAAACCGTTACGGTATGTAGGCTGTTTCTTTCTTTCAATATTGATCAAAGGACGAGGATATCAACATACCTCATGTTGCACTTAAACTTAACAGAATTGGGGATTTCATTTTGTTTCAAATTGGACATCTTCAATATTTTTGTTTTTATGTAAGACTATAGCCCAAAGTTCTTTTCTTTAAGTGTTCTTGAAGTTCTTTAATTAATAAATGGAAAGCAAAGTTAGATTTGTCTCCTCCCCTCTACTTTGTTGATCCGAAAAATGATCCGAACCGTGCCTCAAGAACCGTGATCCGAACCGAACCGTGAGGTTTGTGATCCGTTGCACCCCTAATAAGCGGTGAAAAAAAAAAAATCACCCGCGACCACAGCAGTACATTACTTTGCTCTTGTGTCTGTAGTCCTGCCTGCATCTCCAAACTGGGGGCTTGCTGACCGCCATCTACTGTAGGTAACACACTGACTATAGATAAGTAATTTATGCAACTCCACTTTAAAAAAATCCTAAATATCCTCTGTTGAAAGCGTTAGGGTTAGGGTAGGCAGTCAGGTAGGTGGAAAGTATTGAACTATACGTTCTTTGCCATTTGGAATATATATATCACTGCTGTTTGTTTTTTAATTGCTGGAACATTAGACATACCACTTTATGGCTTTTTTTTCTTCTAATTTGCAATATCAAGGATGTTTTATCACATTTTGTCTTTTCTATGATGGACTTCATATAAAACACTTGGCTGATGTGCACTGTAATTTGTACCTTGTCAGCAGGGCTTGCTGTGGTCACACTCTCTGGACTGGACACGGTGTAGCTTTCTGGGAAAAGAGAACCAGCATCTGTTGGAATCACAGGCATTTACAGAGTTTGTAGTACTTCTATCAACACAGCAGGTTACACAGCTTACCAGGGCTGCCCTCTTTCTCCTCACTCATCTCCAGGCTTCCCGAAACACCCCTCTCTTTAGACTGGTCCTGCACATTCATCTTCTCTTTACTACTCATCCTGCACACTGAGCTCCTGGAAGACATGAAATGGGGACAGATGTTGGCACCGAGGGACCTTATTGGATGACACTGCTCAAAGAAACTCTTCAGAGCTCCTGCGTTGATTACATGGCAATGTTTATGGATGAAGGTGTTACTGGCATGTTCATTTGTTTTTAGTTTGTGCTTAATACCTGTCAGGGAAACCTGCCCTATGTGTTCACAGCAGGGAACAATTAAAAAGTGTTTTTATTGGGAAACATTTAATTCAGGATATGTTACAGATAGACACTAACCTCCGCCGTTTGCTTGGTGCGTTTGCAGCGGTGGAGCCTTGTTGGTTTTGCCTGTCCAATATAGACTATGGAGAGAGAGAGAGAGAGAGACAGCTGTTAGTGCTTTTGGTTAAAAATCACATAAAGTAAATGCATATAATACCAGGTAAAGACAAACTCCCTCACATTTGCTTGTTTCTTTGATAACTCCTCCAGGAGCTCCTCAATGCTTTCATCCGCTACATCAAATGGTGTCTGACCCTACAAAGTGAGAAACAACGTGACAAAAATTAACCATTAAATAATAAAAAAATAAATACGCATGTTACATTTCCAGTACCAAGTTCTTCTCCAAATGATCAAAATGTCATGGTGAATGCTGCTTCTGTAAATGAAAGAACACGCTCAACATAGAAGAATGATGTTTTTGCTTTTGTAATTATTTTGGGTCATACCGCATTACTTCGAGCCTCCATATTGCAGAGCTGTTCAGCAAGGATGCAACAGGCCTCCCCCTGACCCCAGTGTGCTGCAGCATGGAGAGGCGTCCAGCCATCAAAGTCCGTAGCTGACACATCCAGCCCACACTGACACAGTATCCTAAACAACACAACAGCAAGTTGACAACAGCAGCACTGCATGATACACTATATGACAAAATATAGACTTCCTGGAAAAGAAAAAACATTTCTAAGTTCAAATGTTAAATTATATCCATTAGGGAAAACATTAGGAGATGCTTACTTGAGAGCCTCTAGATAGCCTTTGGCTGCAGCCACATGCAGTGGGGTGGCCCCGGTCCTGGGGTGTCTTACATCAGCGGGTGGGGCCTCAGTTAGCCAGATCCGGGCGTCCGTCATTATCTGTTCCTCCTCCAGCCGCTTCGCTGCCTCCAAGTCCACACCTGGACACAGACAGAAAATGTCAAACACATGGTCTCTTCTTTTATCTATGAGGCATTCCATTTGGGTAGTTATTAGGGATGCATCATTAACAAAATCATTGTTATTGTTCCGGTAATGAAATATCAGTTGATACTTCCATCCAGTAATGCTGAGCCTTGGCTGTGGAAACCATATAAAACCATGTTCTGAGTGTGCATTTTTGTCTCTCTCGCTCTTGGGCTCTCTGTGTCGGTCAGTGAGCAACATGCAGGCATGCACAGAAAAAAAATGAACCGGTCATTATGAAAATATTTACTTTTGTCTTCACATTGTTGCAGTTGTAATAATAATAATAATAATAATAATAATAATAATAATAATAATAATAATACATTTATTCATTTATCATATTGTTATCGGCCACAACAAGCGGATAGTTTGGGCTGTAAGGCTGATTAAAGGCTACAATAATACTTTGAGTATTATTTTATTTGTAGAATTAGATTCCAGTGATGGGTGCGTAGGATTGTTGCCAAAAAACAGTTTGCTCTTCTGCTTGCTGCGTACAAAGGGAGAACCACGCCTGGATTAATGGGGCAGTCTAGCAGCAATCTAACAGGACCATAAATTACATTTAGATAACCACAATAACAAAAAAACTTTTTTGGGGTGATGAAGTCATAAAATACGACAGACGACATTTGAAGCTTTGTTCGAAAATCTCAATAGAAGCTTTGAATTTGAGCAAAAAATAAAAAGTACATTTGGTATAGCCCTACAGATCATAAATTATTATCAGCCCTGAAATCCCAAATTGGTGAATCTCTACTAATTATGCTTCCTCTTAGAAGTATGTAGGATTTAAAACTCCTCTCGTATCAAGAAACAAACACATGTGCCCTAGATTAAGCAGAAACAAATGATGAAGCATCCTTTTAAAAAGGGGTGCGTAGCTGTCAAAGGACAGCACTCACCCTGTCTCAGAGAGTAACCCTGAAGGAGGGACTCAGTGCTCTCGTCCAGAGCAATGTCCAGTGGAACATCACCATCACAGTTCACAGCAGAGAGAGATGCACCTTCCAGCATAAGAAAACTGTCAAAACAAACATGGACACAGTCAGAATCCATATAACTGCAGAAACATTTGCATAGTCTACACAAGGACAACCAATTCTAGATAGAAACACCTAATCCCATCACGTTACCTTCAAAGCGATGCCAAAAGGCATTATTCACAGAACAAGAGACTGTAGGAAAATAAATGGTGCATCAACTGCTAAATCATTTGAGCTGCATGCATTTGTGTGCCAGGCCAGCCCACTCATGCTTCAGCTGAGTGCCAAACAGGAAAACAATGTTAGTATTGTTGAATGCACAAATACTCTGGCACCCACGCTGCATTCTGATGTCTCCAAAGTGTCAAAGAGTACTGTACTATTGTTAGCTGTAGTCTGCTAACTGTAGAGACGTATTCTACTCACTCTGCAATGTCACGGTACCCGCAGGAGGCAGCAACATGCAGCGGTGTCCATCCCTCACTATCAACCTGGTTGATGTTGGCACCGTGTTCCAACAGGAAGGACACTATCTCCATGGTGCCATCTATGCAGGACTGTGTAGAAGAGAGGAAAATAGTATTAGTAGTTTTTAAAAGTAAAAAAATAATGCAACTATAAATGTTTCATTCATCTCAGCATCAACCAGAAACTTCGTTTAAACCCTTCGAGGAGAAACTGCCTCACCTGGTGGAGGGCAGTTATTCCATCGGCATTGGAACAGTTGATAATTTCTGCCACATCCTCCCCATTCCTTGTTTTGGTTTCTTTGGCCTCCTTCAGCATCAACTGGGCCTCTTCTGTGTCTCCGCTGGCACAGGCGGCCAGGAACTCTGCAGCCCTGTCAAACCTCACCCGTTTCCTAAAGACAGAGGATACAGTTTGCTAGATGACCTCTCTTATAAGCAGTTGTGGCCAATTTAAAGAAGAAACATGCCTTGTAGCACCAGTGAGATTCATATAGGGAATAGACAAAAAAAGAAACACTTTTCAACAGTTGCAGTAGCCTTGTAGGAAAAGTCAATGTGATTTGATATGACTGTTAAAGGGGTATCAACAGGATGAGGCTGGCAATATTCTATGGCTTTGTTCCTGTCAACAAATCCAATGAAAATACTTAAGCCAACAATGCATTTTCCCATCTCTTAATATGTTCAGGCATCCCTACCCTAACAGTGGATCTTTGCAGCCCCAAGGCCAGCTGCACTGAAGCCTTACATCTTTAGAGATGTCATAAATACAAAGTCTATTTTTAAATAATTCCCTAAAACAGCTGGGCATTTCTTGCAAACAACACTCAAACAAGAGTAAAATATGTATTTCTTGGGGACTTTTGCCAATTGTGGATCTTGGTGCGATAGTGGATATTTAAAGCTGTAGGACAGTGTATGTGGAACTGATTCAAAGTAAACCATAGTAGCCTAGTTTATGTTAGGACCATGTCACACAATTCAACAGTCGGGCTCCCTAACAATTGAAGTCTTTGGGGGGGGAAAACAAGCAAGACCAGGCTTTAAATACAAAGGCAATACTTGCTTTATGATCAGTTCATTGGTGGCTTTGGTCTTCTCGTGGGATTTGTTGACAATCAGACAAAAAGGAACAGCATTAAAAGAGATTGCCACTGCCTGTATTGGCAGCACTGCAAATGAAAAGTGAATAAGCAATACGGTGCTTGACAAGCAGACCTGTTAAGAAGTGCTAGCTAGCTAGCTAGCTAGCTAGATAGCTAACACAAACACTACAAACTATGGCCACATGCATAATGACCATTGGCCACTGACAGTTGAGTGGATGTTATTTAGCTGAAGGGGGCTAGAATATTGTACTTAAAGACATATGGGTCGGGTTATGTTGCCCACCACCCTGTCCAAGCCAAAGCACAACATTCCTCCTTTAGCATATCTTTAGATATTAAGCTAAGCTAGCTGGGTGTTAGCCGGGCCGTTACTGTAAAACGTTTCGACGAGACGTTTCCTCACCGTCGTTTGAGAAGGGGACTGATTTCATCTATGCCTACACACACTGGCTGGTCCCTAGGCGGGTCGCTAAACTGGGCCTCCGGCTCCCCTGCTCCGTTCTCGGCATCGCCCCGCCACCTCCGCCTGGGCACGGCCGACGCTTTGTTGGTGCATGAGCCGGCCCAGCGCTTCAGCTGCTCCCGCCGCTTGGTCCTCGCCGAGTCTCCCATTATTTATCCGAGGAGGAGGACTGTGTTTTTAAAAATAAAACATTCACTGGCAGGGAACGACACACCCTCCATGTGTATACTTCCTGGTTCTTGCTCTGGATGTGGAGGAAGCCTCTTCTCGTGTTCGTTGGCGTCGGGAGCGCGCAAAATTGCTCAGGCTTGTCGTCTGTCTGACGTCACCGTTCTTTAGTAGACCACTGACTGAATTTAGGAAGTATTAGACCATAGACTGTGTATTGAGTAGACCACTGATTGAATTTAGGAAGTATTAGACCATTAGACCTGTATATAGGGTGGAGGGGAAATGCAGTAAAGCTCCATGTCTGCGAATTGTGCACAACACTTCCTGACATTGAGATTATTGTGAGACTCGGGTCAGTTGTATTTTGAAATTATATCCACAATGAAGGTAATTAAGAAGGTCCAAAGCGAATCAATAATAAGACAATAGGAGCCACTACTACAACTTTTTACCCCTTTATAAATGGTGCCCTATAAGTGGGACTGAACTATTAAAGGACCTGAAAAAGCCTTAAGCTTTGAGGATATTGACCAAGCATGACTATTCAAAGTTCCTCCTGTCCGCTTCCCCATATGGAGACAGTAGGGCCATTTATTGAGATTACATAAGCCGCACAACCTGTACACCATTTAGTTTGAAGATGAAATATGCAACCTTTTGCCTTAAGGCAGTAAGTGATGTGCGAGTCCTCCCACTTTGCTGGGCATGTCTCCATCCAGCAGTGCTCATCCTCATGGGCTGTCTACCTTGCAGTGGCTGCTAGCCTGAGGCTGGGATAACCAGCATTCATCAAGCCACAATAGGGGTTTAGAAAGAAGCAGTCTGTCTCAGTAAAAGCAATGCAGTTGTTAATCTGATGTGCTGCAGGTTGAGTTGTTTTTATTGCTGTATAATGTAGTTGGTGTTGCAATAACTTCCCCGTACATATTAGCACAATGCTGCTGATCACCACATCCGTGGGGCACACAATGAGCAACAGAGGCCCAAAAATAATCAGTGGTGTAAACCCTGTTTTAGAAAAGAAGCAGCTAAAGATTTTTATGCAAAGTGCCATGGACAAAAAAAGTTGTGCATAATATATCCAATTTATCATGTATCCCTAATACAAAAGAGTTGCATTTTGTAGTTTGTCATGCAATGCCTGTGGGTTAGCAGGCCTACAGCAAGTTAAGCATATATTTTGCTCAGCTGCATGGACTTAAAATGTGAATTTACTTCCATTCATTTTTCCAAATATGCATTCTGACCTGTGAATCAGCATTGATTTAAACAATCAATGTTAAGTCCTAACTCTTAGATAGCTTGTCAACATTCCAATGTGAACACAGGGTCAAATTCCATGTCACGTTTTTTCCAATGGCTCTTTGTGCTCAGTAGTACAACTCTACAGTCTGTGAACGAACAGAAATCGGACAGCCATTGAAGGAAGTAAGTAAATATCTCATTTGCATTTATTTGTGCTTTTCAATCTTGGACTGGTGAACTAGTCCATGTGTGAAAGAATATGCTGTGGTTGTAATAATTCCTTTTAAACTCTACCTAGTTGTAGGTTATGATACAGCACTGACTTCTTAAGTGAAAATGTAGGGCTTTCCTATAATTTGTCAGTATAGTTTAACATAAAAAAGGAATTTGGTGGGTGAGGTGCTGTGAAACTGATTGGTTGAATGTAGTCTCAACATACAGGCTTCTTGTTTTTCTACTCATGCTTATGAGACTTTATAATAAGTGTAATATCTGCTTTTTTATTATTTATTTAAAAGGGACCATGTACAGTTTAAACATATGTCACCATTCGATGCACTGTACCAGATTGTAGCTTAAGCTAATTTGCATCTGCAGTCCCTTAGCAGGTCAACAAGGACAAGACAATAACATAGTAAAAGGAAAAGACATAATACAAAGATATACCATAAACAACATACAAGACACCCAATACAATGCGACACACAAATAGCACATCAAAAATTGATGTTTGTCAATAAAATCAAGTCAGAAAAGACCACAAGAATTGAGGTCAGTGTGTGCAGTGTTGTGCAGCTTTTAAAATACTTTTTAAGTTGGATTTGGTGTTCTTGGAGTTGTTGCTTTGCTCCACTGTCATTCTCTTATGGAAACAGAGTGAGAGGAACAATACAAATTTATCATTAAACTTTTAAAATGTCATCTACAGCACATAGCACAGAATTTTCAGAATTTCACAGTCATTGTGAGACAAGAAAGCACCTTGAGTTACTTCACTTTATTATCTATTAGTTTCCTCTTTCATGTCAAGTGGAACAAGTTACTAGTTTCCTCCATTTACGCATGTATCAGAATGTCTCGGCCCTCGCACAAAGAAGCACACTCCATCCCACCTCACACGCTGACCCGGCTGGCACGAGAGTGGCTGGCAGAGGACACACCAAACTTTGACCTGGCAGGAGTGTGCGTGGGGTCACAGGAGGTCGAGGCACGGTTGCTGTGTAAAACACCACACAGTGTCCTGGCAGGGAGCCCCTTCTTCACAGCAGTGTTCACTGAGGTCGGATGCACCGTGGACTGGATTCATCCAGAGGGAGCTGAGATTGGTAGGTATTGTCTTCCAAAGCACCAAGATATTAGATTAGATAAATGTATAAATCCCTAGAGTGGAAACTAGTTTGCTCGTTTGGACAAAAGATGCACTAGTCGGACAGCAGTCCACATATCAAAGACATACTGCCACTACTAACAATAAATCACAAACTATAGCACAATCAGCAGATAGAGTCTGCTTTGTCCCTTTTTGTATAGTGTTTGTGTTGTCTGTCCAGTCCAGTTCACTCTTCAGGTGAACACCCAGGTACTTGTAAGATATCACCATCTCAATGTCCATTCACTGGATGTTGACTGGTGCAGGGGGCGAAAGTTCACCACCAGCTCTTTGGTTTTCCCTGAGTTGATCTGGAGGCGGTTCTGCTGGCACCAGCCTATAAAGTCCTGGTTCAATTCTCTGTATTCCCTGTCATCCCCGTCTGTGATGAGGCCGACGATTGCAGAGTCATCTGAGAACTTTTGCAGGTGGCAAATTATCTCAGAAAACAAGCAAATATGACAAGACACAATTTTCACATGAAGGTCAGTTAACTCAGCCAGAGAAAAAAAGTTTGCCTTCAGAACGTTTTAGAGTCTGAGGAAATTAAACTAATATCATCATGGTGATTGACCGGGCACAGAGTTCAACAAAAGATGCTACAGTACCGAGTTGCATTATGGAAATTTATCCAGCGTGTTGACTAAAAAGTCGGGATATCTCAGTTTCTGCTGCGTCAGTTTTAAATATTCTTTTTTTTTTTTTTTTAAATATGTCTCTTGTGGGTCTACCAACTTAATGACAGTGCAGCACAAAATAGTTGGAGTGCCCTTTAATCCTGTTCTTATCATTGGTTGTTATGCTCTTTACTGCAGCATAAAACAAGGAACTGGCCCCAAGATATTTGTAAGAGCAGTGGAAACCTGCTGACTTGTGGTGAAAACTCAAGATGCGTCTAGTTTCTTTTTCAAAGATCAATGACTAGCTCCTTCATCTTGCACATATTAAGGTTCATGTCATTTACATCACTTAAGATCAATTCTCCACCCAGAATGTGGGCAGTATATTACTGGAACTTGCTCCTGGAGGCACCATCCAACCTTTGGCGTTCGTCCAGAATGCAGCAGTCTTCAACCTAGCCAAGTTCTCCCGCACTACACCGTTACTCCGTACCCTGCATTGGTTACCAGTGGCTGCTAGAATCCGATGGTTATAGTCATGGTCAAACTCTCTGAACTCTGAATCCTCCAATATCTTTGTCTCCCCTCAACAGGTCCAAATGCCATCACGCTGACTGCTGTGGTGAGAGGCCCTGCAAGGTGTCTCCTCCTCGGGGAAAGGCCGGCTCTCAACTGCCTGGCCCGGGCCTCGGGGATCGCCACACGCTGTTCTCAGCTCCAGGCAATGGCAACAGTGAGAGGCTGGCATGGAGAAGTGGCTGGCACACGCAAAACCACTCCGGGCTTTCGTCTGGTGGAAAAGTACGCCATGCTGGTTGGCAGTGTGTCCATGCATAGACAGGACTTGAGTGGAATGGTGATGCTGAAGGACAACCATGTCTGGGCATCAGGAAGTATCACACAGGTGGGCAGCTGCACCAGAGATCGGACAATGGCTCGTACAATGTTTGTTCTCACATCTCATTGAAAAAGAAACACCACAAACCTCTACAAGTTAAGCATGTTCAAAAGAAAAAAAAACTTGAAAAATTTTAAATATATTACCCCTCTGTTCATAGCATTCAAAAATTTTACTTTTAAAATGATCTATTTTAATTTATGTGGGTTCCATTTACCACATATTAAGGGCAATTAAAAAAAACTTGGTTAATAGGGTTTCCTATGGTCATAAAAGTATAATCTTTCTTTACTTCTATACATTTTCAAAAAGCATTAAAATATTTAACTTTGAAGACCATTAATCTGAATATGCTATTTTAATTATCCTCCTTTAAAAGTTGTCTAATTTTAAACAGTCTTTCAAAGTTCACAAATTATGTTTATAATAAATTGTACAGTATAAAACTATTCAAGTTGTTTTACAAGCATAAAGTAACTTTCGTCACACAACAAAATGAAAACACATGTTGCCAGTATTTATTATTTTGACAGAACACTATTTTGACTAAACCATTCTATCAAAATAATAAATACTATCTGAAAGTTGATATACTTCAAAATAACTGGCAAAAGGTAAAAAAGTCACAGATAGTCTTCCTTTTTACAGTGTATTTATGTATATGTATGGTATGTTGCAATCAAGTTTTTTTTAGGAAGTTAGTCGACAGTCAATGTTTGACAAAGAATGACATCTGTCCTAAAGTCAGATGTGCTTACAATACAATGTGTACAACAAAAAAATCCACCATGTTTGTTCTCCAGGCTGTGAAAGCTGCCCGGTCAGTGTCTGGCTTCAGCAGTAAGATTGAGGTGGAGTGCCGCTCTGCAGAGGAGGGCAGAGAGGCAGCTGGAGCTGGAGCAGACATTGTTATGCTGGACAACTTTCAACCTCAGGTAAAGATTATGGAAATAACACAAGCCCCGATCGCTTCTTTTAATTGCCTGGTTTGAACTCGCCCTGCCACTTAACCACTATATGAGACAATACATCCCTTCTCCACGTGTCTCTCACCATAGGAGCTCCATGGTGCAGCTCATGCACTGAAAGAGGAGTTCCCAACACTACTGATCGAGGCCAGTGGAGGAGTGACTCCAGAGAACTTGGCTTTGTATTTGTCCCCATATGTGGACATCATTTCTCTGGGCTGCATAACACAGGGATGCCCAGTTGTGGACTTTTCTCTCAAGGTTCAAAAGCCTGTTGTTAACTCAAGCCTGCAAGGATGATACAGTAAACAATGTAGACAATGGTGTGAGATATTGTTCTGATAAATAGAGTAGACTTCTTTTTAGTGTGTTCAGTTTTTTCCCAGAACAGCTACGATTACAGTTATCTTCTGCTTCTAAAGCATGAGAAACAAGAAACAAATCACATCCTGTTTGCTCACTGTGTTGTCAGTCATTTAATAAAATGAAAACAGAAATAAGCTTGAACTTGCTTCTTTGCCAGGGCCGTGTAGGTTCAATGAAGATTTTATAGTTCTTCGAAAAGCAAAATATGCAAAGCTGCATTGCCATAGAGAAACAGCAGTTATAAGTTAAAATCAATCAGCAGAGATATCAAAGACATACAGAATAAAAGGACAATTAAGGAAAATTATAGGTTAGCAGGCAACCTATATGTCCCAACCAAACATTTTTCTTCTCACTTGAAATATTTTCTAATAGTGGTGTCTAGCCATGCATATCATTTTGTTTTAGTTTTCCCCATTTTGAGGTTTAACATCTGCTGCCACCCCACACACAATGGAGGTGAATAGTGCTCACATCATTGAAAAATACAACAGCCTCATTTCTTTCTAGAAAATATGTCCAGATTATTTTTGTATAATCTACAGACATCCCAGGCAGCCAAAGTGAAACCGGAACCTCCAGATTCTTTTCCAGAGGTAAAAAATCAAGATAACTTTACTCAAAGTATGTTGTGAGCTGTTGGTGTATGTTTAAATATGCAAATAAGGCATTATCCTATCAAATGTGTGCTAATTTGATTACACGTCAAGAACACAAATCTGAAAATGGGATAAAGCCAGGTTCAAGTTTGGGATTTCTTTGTTTCACTCCATAAATCAGAAAATACTGTCAACAGCATTAAAAACAATAAATATTTGCCATGTTTTTTAAGAGTACAATGTTCTCTAAATCAGACTATGAATGATATAGTAAAAAAGAAAACTGTAAAAATGTATATACCTATGGATAGGAATGAATGGTTGGTGGTTTAATTCCTGTTCCCGCTACAATGTTGTAGCGTTTTTGCTGGTAACAGATTTAATAAATAATAATTAATTAATATAAATTGATGTCACTATTATTAGTAGTTCAATTATGATTTATGAACCCATACATTATTATAAAAGAATGATCGTACCCAGCTTACGCCATAAGCCACCATTAGTTTGACAAACAGAATTTAACATAAAATAACATTTTGGATGAAAACTTCCAAATTAGATGTTAATCTATTTAATCTTAATCTCAGGAGTTCTTCTCAAGGTGTACATATACACACACAAATCAAATGATCAAGTTATTTATAAAGAAAATATTATATAAGTCTTTCATCTCGAAGTCTTTTCGTTTAGAGTCTCTTGCTCTTAATATGTCTTCAGCACGTTGGTGCAACGCTGGTTAGAACTGCATGGCGGTGGAGTTAAGGCTTTAATTGTCCTAAGCACAACAATTACAGTGAAGCAGTCTTGTTCTCAGTGAAGCAGTCTTGTTCTCAGTAAATCCTTCTTATTATAGTGTATACATGTTGTGGAGGTTGACCAAAATGTGTGTTTTGGGGTCCAGGCTAATTTAAAGATGTTAAACCAATATGACAGACGCCTGTGCTAAGAATACCAATAATAATAAGGTGCAAAATGAGGGATTTAGGAATTACAAAAGAAAGGGGAAGAATGAGGAAAAAGACATTGCTGTGCGAGCAGAAATGTCGTAACCACTTGCAACGGAAACACCCTAATTTAAAAAAAAACAACACAGGAAGTATTGCACAGTCACATGTCTCAAGCAGTCGTAGCAGAATTGTTAGTCTAGAGAGAATGATGCATGGGCAGCGTCGCATCTTCCTGCTCACCTACATGGTGGCTGTTGGTAAGATCTCAAATTTTGATAAACAATATTTATCTACCAAAGGAAAGATAGGGATGTTTGATGCGTAAGACTTGAAGGTGATTTTGAGGCTAAAACCCTTGAGAGATGTTTGATGTTGTGTGAGCTCCTTTTGGGAGGGTAAAATAACAAAAAATAGTTGCATTTTTTTTGCAACATTGGAAAACCTTATAGTGGGTTACTTAAATGTTACTTAAATGTTCACGATACAGATTTTATCATATTCAATCATTTAAGTTTCAACACTCAGTTTGATGTGTGCTGAGTGCAAAAGCTCAGGAAATCCATCGTGGTGAAACTACTTTTACAGAAGACATGGTGCCAATAAAAACTGAAAGGTCCGTGGTTTTAAAGAAACAAATTGTTTTTCAGATTTTAAAATGTAATTTTTAAAATGTTTATGAGCAGCACTCGGGAATATTTCAAAACTTCAGCACAAAAAAACAAAACAAATCTATCAATACAACTAGTGATACAAGAGGAATTGTTATGTGATTTAGGTGAACTGACCCTCTAAATCCAAACAATATGTTAAAAAAACAACATATAATGGCTGAAAGAGCTGAGCATACTGAAGGTTTTTCCTGCATTAAGTGACTTTTTTATAGGCTGTAATTACAACATTGACACAAAATCACTATATGGGTGTGATGGCAAAGTTGTTTGTAAAGTTGGCTATTTACACATCCAGCAGATACGGAGCATCTGGCATTCTTTAGATTTGTGGTTATGTGTTCCCTCAGAATTAATGCCACATATTTGCATAATGCAATTAAGCACTTGAATGTACGTAGCACACCAGAATTTGAAGTAAGTTCAACAACAATGGCAGAAAGGTTATTGGAGAAACTAAGTGAGATATTTTTTTTGTGTAGTATATTTTGTGTGTGTGACATCTGATAAACTCGGTTGGGTCTGAAGATTGAAAATTTCAAAAATCTGGATGTGTGGACTTAGAAAGAAGTAAGCTTTCCAGACCTCTGTAACCCACTCCTCATCTTTGCTTAAGGCTAGCAGTTTAAGCAATAGCCACTACTGCACATCACACACAGATCTCCGACCGAATTGTTGCAAACGAGTGGCATTGTGGGTAATGCAGTCGCTGGGTTTTGTCAAGTGGCAACCTCCTGGTCTGAAAAGGTAAAAAAAGGTAAAGTCAATGCAGAAGTTTGTTAAACTTGCATTCCCTCTACTGGCCACCTGGGAGCGACTATCTGGTTACAAAAAGATGTCTGATTGTATAGAAGTCTATGAGAAAGCGGCAGTCCATAAATCAATGGCTGACATCACTGTGCCTACGTCCACTTCTTATACAATCTATGGGTTTTGACACAAGGAAATTTCAATTTTGCTGCATCAAATTTGATCCTTATTTAAACAGTCCATCCAGAAGCTGATAATGTATTAGGAGTGCAATGCTAGATCGGTGGAGTTAAGAATAACACTATAGCAACCACCTTGAGTGTCACGATGTGTAGTTATGTTAACTTTGTAAAATCCGACATTCTCAAGTAATATATTCTGGTGTCAACTGGGCTTGATTTGGCCCTGATCTGTCCCCTATAGTTAGATATGTTTATTATGTATGTGAACGATGGCGCTCTTGATGCAGCCACATGTCTACATGTATAAAGTAAGTGCACCATGAAAAAGGCAGGATTAAAGATATACTTTATATATATTTTCAGATTTCCTTTGGCATTATTTTACACATTAGCTACATTTCCTATATTTGAACTGAATTTATAATTTTCTTTTTCTAGAAATATATTCTTAAATGTAAAAAGTGGGTTGTGCAGACCAAAAGAATTTATTAATTATTAATTATCATAAAGAACAACTGTAATGATGAATGCTTGGCAACGTTAGATTACTAGCCAATCTTTGAAATATAACATTATTTCTAAAACAGTAATGTTATTTCATATTTCTCAAATTCTGATCGTTTATAAATTTCAAATTAGTTGCCACCTATTTAGATTAAGATAGAATGAAACAAATCAAGTCCATTTACCAAAACTTGGATATGTGGTCTTTTTCTCACAAATTGCAGCCATCCCTGTCTCTTTGACGTTCAACATTGATATGAAAACTCCAGATATCTATACTGGGGAACAAAAGGATTTCTTTGGATACAAAGTGCTTCAATTCATGTCTGGCACGAACAAAGGGTAAGTTTCCATTTGCAGCTTGGTGGTTCAGTTGATATGTCGTGTTGCTGTCCTGAAATTGTCAAAATCGTGATTACTCATAAAGTGAAAGTCATCAAATTTCTATTAAGCCATCCATGGTTTCCTTTTATATATATACTTTAAGTGTAAGGAAGATCATTCTGGTTTACTTTATCAGAAGCTCCTCTGAACATGTAGTTCAGAGGAGTTGAATGATATTGCTTGCTGTGACTCACCTTCCTGTTGCATTACAAAGAGATAATGCTGACAACAGCAGAAGCCTTGTATTGCCTTTAGTTAAAACTGTGGGCGCTCATGTAAGCCTGGCCACTAAAATGATTAAACACTTCACAGGATAATCGTAACTGCACCGCTGCGGCTAAATGGATCTGGCAGCATATGTAAACCCGACCAAAACCACAAGATGCAGTGCTTCAACCCTGAAAGTATGTAAATCCCTATTTTTTTTTCAATATTATACAATGAATCCTTTAATAAAAAAACATGAAAACATACAGTGTCCAACAATGCAGAAATATGAGATGCCAAATGAAATGCTACTGTCGCCGATATTTCTCTAACAGAGACAACAATACCAGTCAAGCACTTTGGCCTGTCGATAGCTGAAGACTCCAAACGCTCCGGATTCACTGTGAGAAAAATCACAAAGCTCAATCGCAAATACACTTACTCTGTGACAGGTTCTGAGCAAAAAAAATCTGTATGATGAATCAATTTCTTTCACCTCATATGTTCGGATCTAGGTGTGCAGTCCAAGTGTAGTCCATGAATGTAATGGGAACTCCTATGTGAACAGCGAGTGCTACAACATCACAAATCAACTTCAGGCAATCTCCTCTTTCAGACCTACTTTCCAAGGTAAAAGACACCTGGAGAGTGTAAACTTCTACAACTCTGTGGTTATTACAACTTATTCTTCCTGCACTGAAATAACATTCTCAATGCCCTTGTCCTGACTAAATATCCTTTTCACTTTTTTCAGGATGCACAAAAAAGACAGTGGACCTTGTCTTTCTATTTGATGGATCATTGAGTATGACCGAAGCAGAGTTCAACAAAAATAAAGATTTTATAGTGGATATAATGAACAGCCTTAAGAACTCATCAATCAAGGTCTGTGTGCTACAGCAAAATGAAAATGTTAATAGCATTTGTTTGTTGAATTATATGCACATAACATTGCATACTATATGATCTTGTCTGCTTTTTTCAGTTTGCAGCAGTTCAGTTCTCCAAAACACCTCGAAAAGTTTTTGACTTCAACGACTACACAGCTGGTACTGATCGCAAACAACTTATGAACGAACTCCATATGAGGTCTCTCACCAATACACATGGAGCCCTCAGATTTGTGTTGTAAGTTCAGTTATGTAAAAAAGTTTTCAAATTCTAACTGAATAACATTTAAAAAACATTAAAGAACTTGCACAGTATAACTATACTTATGAGCATCTTATTTGTTGAAATAATAAATGTTAATTTATGGATGAAGGGTTATTTATTTATTTTCTTAATGCTACTTTTACATTTGTTTCAGGGATCATATTTTGGAAAACCCAGAGGCAGGTGCTTCTCCTGATGCAACTAAAGTTCTGGTACTAATTACGGATGGAGATCCCAGCGATTCAAACGACGGCATTATTAAAAGTTATGATGATAAAAACATAATTCGCTTTGTCATTGGGGTAAGCTGTGATGTGATATACATGTCTCATTACTCTGTCTGATGAATCTATTTAACAGTCACACTTGTAATTCCTCAGGGATCAAGTCTTACGACTGTACCACTATGCAGATAATACACAGTCATACTTCTCAGAAACACACAACATCAGAACTTTTAAAAAATATTTTGTCGAGTAAAACTTGTACGAATTCAATTTGTACACAATCATATTGTTTATCTAGCTGACATTGTACTCTGGATACTACATTTTTTTCAAGAAGCATTCTGGTTTCAGGTCAAAAATGTTGAAATGAAATTATTCAGAGCCATTGCTTCAGAACCAAAACACAAAAATGCCTTCAAAATTGAGAACTATGACGGACTGAAAGGAGTACTGGAAAACTTTCAGAAGAAGATCTTTAAAATGGAAGGTGATGTTCTATTCAGTTTATTTTCTTCCCGTACAATAGTGTTACAAAAATCATTTTTATCTCCCTGGTGAACCTCTGCAATAGCAACATGAATTGCTAATGGTTTCTGTTTAGGCTCAAAAGTGGCTCGGGCAGGCGAAATGACCAATGAAATGTCTCAGAGTGGATTCAGTGCTGCCTTCTACAACGTGAGTAAAATCAAAAATCTGTAAAGGGCCAGGTAAACAGTATCTTTAAACAGCAATATTTGGTCTAGTTAATAAAAAGCATTTATGTCTAGAGACCATCTTGCAATACCAATTTGGGCCAATACACAAAGTGGGGGCCCAGTGGTCCCTTCCCCACTTCCTATTCCCCCATACTTCTGGCGCCCTTGATCTGACCACAGCCATCTTGTAATCTGCCTTCATTTTAAACTCAATTATACACCTGTAGAGATTGGTGACTGCATCTTGTACAATTGTCTCATAATATATGAATTAAGTTGCTGTGCCACATCCTGAATGGCCTGTTATCTTCTACTTTCATGGCATAAGTGAAGGATTCTCAGCTATTCAGCAATAGCTTGCAATCTTACTGTTACAAACTCTGTTCTATAACAAACAACCGGAGGACTGAAAAAGTAGGATAGTTGTAGTATCCCCTTTCCAATGTGTGTACTGTACTTTGCAAGGAGGACAACAGGACAATCATTTGACCTGTCTGTGTGGTATCAATGGTTTAGGAGTTTTAAATTACAGCGCACCATCAAGGTAAAATTGAACTAGTGATGTTTGGTACAGACAATTTAAGTTGAAAATAAAAACTGGTAGTAACCACAAGGGAATTTTGATAATACAGGTTTCAGATTTACGTTCGTTATCAAAAAAGTATTGGCAGCAAACATGCCTTGAGCTGCTTACTTTATCAGAAATGCAACAGAATAAGTCAGACTTGTTTCCAGGAGAGTGTTATTTATGTAGAAACGATAACCATAAAAAGAATACATAGAGACGTAATTAGTGAATCGAAATACATGGAATGGTTATTAAAATAAGGCTAAAAAGCAGTATCCTGTAGACTTCTTTGACACATGTAGCATCCATCCAGTACCCTAACTGGGTAAACCTTGGGCCAATGGAAGAACTCAGCAGAAGTGTGGCAATAAAAGGTAAATAGTGGCCTGAGAATGATGCTAGCTACCTAAAACAAAGAGACTATTTGTTGATTTATTGTTGGGGCTAACTGCGATACTGAAACAACCAAAGAAAATCTGCGGCCCAAAAGTATTTTTACAGCAGATCGCCATTATAAATCTGTAAAACTGCTTAATCCTCAAACTAAACAAGCAAACAAATCATGAACATTAAATACCATGTACAACATAAGTGTGACATCGTCTTAATGTTAACTGCTCATAACCCCCTCAATTCAATGTTGACAGTTAAATATGTACAGTTAGCATGCTCCACTTTAGCATGGAGATTACATGTTTTTTGCTTATTTGGTTTCTTAGCTTTTTGGATGTCTGTTAAATGATTTCTTCTCTGACACAGTTGATCTGTCTCCTCCGAACATAATTATTGTTGGTAATTCCACTCCTCTCTGTGCTCTGACTGGACCTGCACATTTCTGTTTAACAGGACAAATTGATTCTGGGTTCAGTGGGATCAAACAGCTGGCGTGGTTCTCTCCAAGAACTTCATGAACAAAAAGAAACACAAATTGAAGATCCACAAATGCTGATGGACTCCTACATGGGTACTGAACATACAGTTGTTAGTTTCTTTTCAGATTACCTGCTTCTTTATTTCAAAAAATATATTTTATTTGGTTAAAGATGTTGATGCTTTGAGGTGATGCTTGGCAAAAACACATGCCTCAGTAAATTACCTCTATCAGTTTCCAATCTGACCATATGTGACTGACACTGTTGCAGGATACTCACTTTCTGTTGGAGAGAAGAATAGTGTTCCTCTATATTTCACGGGGGCACCAAGATTTGAGCACATAGGACAGGTCGTACTTTTCAGACACGATGGCAAGAACTGGAACGCGGCCCAAAGAATAGATGGGGACCAGGTCGGTAACTGTCTTGAGAATTATATTTATTGTTAAAAATCTGGTTTACTATACACATTCCGAACAAAAAAAGTTTTCAGCTTTAAGGGTGCTATGCTCAGCATGTTTTCCTGAATCTGCCATTGCCTTTTTGTTATCCCATTAGAGCTAGCGTCCTTCCTTTTTAGGACATTTCTCATGAACCTACTTTGTACACAAAGAACAGCAGCTTGTCGCAAAAAGGAAGGTTCATATTTTTACCTTTGAGATAACTCGGTAAAACTTGTAAACCCCAGACTCAGAAAACTAAACTGACGGGCTTCTTTTTGCCTTACAGTAATCATGTATATTTGTTTGATAAAATGCATTTAGAGATGTTGCAACTTTATGAAAATGTGCAAAGGCCTATTTCTGTGGTTGCAGGGAGGAAGCCAGAGCACTTCATTTCACTACCTAGTTTTGCTTAAAGAAAAACTGTGAGAAAATAACAGTTGTTCGAAGCACAATAAATGTTTATACATGTAGGCTTTTCAAAAATGGTTAAGGGACATACATTTTTTTTTAACTTAATTGATATAAACTTCACTTTTCAGATTGGTTCCTACTTTGGTGCAGAGCTGTGCTCAGTAGATGTCAACTCAGATGGTAACACAGATTTCTTGCTGGTGGGAGCTCCACTGTTTTACCAGCATCAGGAAAAGAAAGAAGGCCAGATTTACATCTACACACTGACTGATGAGGTGAGCAGTGATAAATGGCTACTATGTGATTGACAGCTCGCTACTATGGCGTTGCACGATCTGGGAGTTCACCATGTTTTGCTATTACAACTTTAACCCTTTCACAGTGTCTTTTCAGTTCATGAAAGTAAATTTTAACATTTTGTTTGCCGAAAAAAGGCCCTGTTCAGCACGTAGTCCTCAAACCAATGGGTGAGGTCACAGTAAATACAGCTACTTCCTATATACAGTCTATGGTTCAGAACCAGTGTTTGAATATTAATGAGGTTCCTGGGAGCTAATAAATGCATTATTCTCTTAACAAATGAACATATGCTCTTATTTCCAACAGATGCAACTGATAAGTGAACTGAATGTGACTGCACCATCCATGGGGAGATTTGGCTCCACCATATCCAGTCTTGCAGATTTAAATGGAGATCAACTCCGAGACGTAGCTGTTGGAGCCCCCCTTGAGGATGATAACACCGGGACTGTGTACATCTACCTGGGTGACAGACACAGAGGGATACGCAGCACTTTCAGCCAGGTGAGACAGAGAAAAACATTGTCTTTTTTGTTTTGTTGTATTTTTGAGACAAACGTAGTTGGCCCTATTCATGAACAAAACAGCCACAGATTTGGTGAGTGGTCACTCTGCCTGGAGCAGGTGTATTTTTGATAATTGATAGTGCATCAACATCATGAGGGTTTGACAAATGAGTTTGTTTGCCAATACATCAGACATAAACTGGCTTTTGAATAAAACTAACAAAGACATCCTTTAAATAATATGGCTTAGTAGAGAATAAAATTCTCATCAGTGTATTTTTCAGTGATATTGGTATTTAGCTTTAAAAACCTGTATCTGTCTCACACTGGGCATCTACCAAAATAACTAAACACACAGCATTTGACGCAACCCCCTCTCCAATGAACGTATTTTCATATGTGTGCAAATCATGCACTGTTTCAGTTGTCCAGTCCATGTTATTCCAGAGAATCATGGGACAGCAAATAAAGCCTGGGCTGAGATTCTTTGGACAAGCCATTGATGGGGACATTGACCTTGGAGAGGATGGACTCCCAGATATTGTAGTCGGATCACAGGGCTCTGCTGTTGTCTTAAGGTATGGATTCTGTGAACATTATGTTGTACAATTGCAAACTCCTTCCCTTTCAAAGCCTGACTACATCTCAATGCTGAGTTTTCACAACAAAAGAGTTGAGCACATTGACCGAGAATCTACCAAGCACCATGAGACAATGTACGGACCAGAACAATCATCATGTACTGTTAATGGTACATGATGAGTGTTTACATGAAGTGACTTGCCTCTTTTTGAAACCGTAGAACTTCATGAACATCAACTAGATGATTGTATACTAAACAAAAGAAGAATACATTTTTTGCCGGATTCCAAAATAAAGTTGAGATGATATTTGGTGTTTTCAACCAATCAGGTGGAAGGACTCTTATTGATGTCTGAATGAAGGAGAGAACTGGCAATCATTTACTATACAAGCAACTTAAATGGCTGACTCAATGGATGAATCAGAAGCCACAATTCAAATTCATGTACTGAGATCTTGTTAAACCATCCTTCACGCATAAGTAAACAATCAGCCTACAGAAAATATCATGTGCAAAGTCTGATTATCCATCTTTTTGATGAATCTCTTTCAGGTCCAGGACCGTCTTTAATGTCACTGCCCATCTGTCTTTTCTACCTAATAAGATAAGTACTGACAAAATTGACTGTCTGAGCAACACAGATGAAACTTTACCAATGGTTACCCTAACAGCCTGCTTTGAAATGGTAGAAACAACAAAGAGCAAACCAGGTACGGGCCTGACCCAATAATGGGATTCATTAGCAGCTGCTGATACAGCACACCCTATCAATATTTTAATCCTGATGTATGCCTTTGCAGCAGGAATGAGCTCCGGCCTAAACATCTCGTACATGCTCAATGTGGATCCAATGAGACAAACAAATCGAGGTTTCTTCAGTCAAACCAACAAGAAAGATAGAAATCTTATCTCTACCTACGAACTAAGGGATAAGGATACCTGCTTCAACTACTCTGTCTACATGCCAGTATGAAGATTAATTGATAATATTCACCCTCCCATATGCAGCTATGACCAACTGTACATCTATAAATTTCATCCATGTCTCTATACCTCAGCTAGTTAATTCCTAGATATTTCCACTAACCCACACAACACACTTTAAATCCACAAAGGTTTTGTCAAATGTATTGATTCACTTTTTTTGGTTACGGTGATTAAGATGCCAAAATTAATATGCTTTGGGCAAGTGTTCTAAGGACTCTTTATGGTACAGATTCCTCAAAATTGTGTTCAATTTTGTCTTCAAAGACAAGAACATTTTCTGATAATGACTTGTATTAAAACTTCTACACTTGTTATATATAAAAATAGAAAATATTCATACCAACCTACCTGCCCGTGTAGCAATGCCCTTTCTTTCTTTATCAGAAATTTAGTTTGTAAAATCAGATGCTGACTTATTTGTCAGCTTAATCACCAAAAAACAAAACAGTAATAATAATAATTGTAATACACTAATGCATTATTTAGTACTTTAGCTTAATGTTGAAACACAATTTTCAAAATATAAGTGTCTGCTTTTTGTCTGTGCTTCAACAATAAGCAATGACTTGTCTTTTTCTTGCAGAAATGTGTGAAAGACACATTATCACCCATCCTCATCAAATTAAAATTCTCCCAAGTTGACAGTGAGAGTGCGATTGCCGTCCTGAATATGGACAGCAAAAAGCCGGCTATTGTTGAGGTATGTACAGTGACTTCAGCAAAAGGCTGCAGGCAGTCAGATTCATTTGAATCCTTGCTGATTTTCTCTTTACATGTCCCAAAATCAATCTGTGAGACATTTGTGAAAACATAAAGAAAAGGATCTAGGAGGTGAAATGGAATTTGTTTTTTTCGGATGCAACTATGACTTTGTCAATTTGTTTCACTTTTCCAAGTCGGAATTTACCTTTGACACAGACAGCAAAGACTGCCTTGAGTTACTAAATATCTGAATTAGCCAAATAGTGGTATTTTTTCCAGGCTAGCTAGAAACGTAAAACTTTTGTATCTTACTTTTTTGTGGTTATATTGGCAAGAAATTTGAAATTACTTCTCTGATTAATTCAAACAATGTGCAAAATGTACATCCAAAATTTGTTGAGAAATTTTAGTTGTGACCAAAGTGGTGGAGCAGTAAACTACCATTGCCAGCCTTAGAGTCTGGCACATTAATTGTGGTGGTAGATGGAAAGTGCAGATCAGCTTGTCAGGGCGTTCCTGTTACGTTTCAGTCATATCATCATCAAAATCACCTGTGACTAATAATTAATTTGTCTGGTAACAAGGTCTGGTTTCTTCATTGTGTTCCAAAGGAATCCTGTGTCTTTGTTACCATTGTTTTCTGAATGGCTCTGCATTTTCAACAATGACCTGAACAGACATTTCCTTTTATTACAGATTCCCTTTGAAAAGCATTGTAGAAAAAATGACACCTGTATTGCCGAACTTGATGTGGATTTCAACTTCACGTATGTATAAATTATAAACACAGCACACAACTGTAACATTAACATCATATGACCACATTTACTCTCTTTCTCTTAGGACTCCAACATTATTGGTGGCAAAAGATAATTACTTCAACGTGTCTGTTAAACTGTCCAATCATGGTGATGACTCCTACCACACCAGCCTAACAATGCACTATCCCAGAGGCCTCTCCTTCTCTAGGATGACTCTTATAGAGGTAACTTTAAAGTTAAACGTTTATGTCTACAACTGTACATCTGCTTGTTCCAACTTTACTGCTTATTAGAAGTTATGATACTAATTTTAAATTATATCATAAATAACATCTGTCAGAAAGACGTTCATTTAATTAACCTCCCCTGATGTCAAGTGCAAAACTACTGCAATTCTTTCTTTCACAAGTTCTGTGCCACTAAAAAAGTATGTGTCAGGATGTGTGGGTTGTCAGAGGTGTTACCAATTAAAACATCAGACCGTGAGAACGAATGTTGTTTGAAATCTTTAGACTTGCCTGAAAGCTTGAACTAAAACATCACAAACGTGACAGCATTGAATTCAAACTAGAAGCTTTTATTCCAGAGTGTCTCAGTTCATATTTTTTTCCTAAAACAGGCAACACGACCAACAGTCCACAGCTGTCACGATCTAGAAGGAGTACTTGACAGAACTACATGTGGTGTCAGCCGCCCTGTGTTTCGCAGCAGATCAGCCGTGAGTCATATTGCACCCGGACGCCCTCATCCCAGACAGAAGTTTCGCTATTTTCAGAAATCAAGAACTGTGACCAAATGCCTGAACCTGTGACAGTTACAACCGAGGCAACTTCTCTCATTTAGATATTTTCTCTTTCACTCACATCTAACATCATTTTCTTTTTTCCTGTGAAGGCAACATTCAGAACTGCTTTCCACATCATGACTGAGTATGAGTGGGATGACACAATTACGATAAACATTACTGGTGAAAGGTAGCGGCTTTCTCATACAATCCAACACACAGACCGTAGCCAAACATTGTCTATGTATTACTAAAATATGATTGATTACTATATCATTACATATTGCCTGTTTAATATTCACAAGAAATGCTTTTTACATCCTCAGCGATAATACAAACTCCACCAGGATTGCTTTCCTGACCAAAAGCATCCCAGTGCAATTTGAAATAAAAATGGCAGTAATAGTGTAAGTTCAGAACTGTAGTTCTTATATATGCCTAGTCATTTTTATAATTTAAATTGTTACATTTATTATCCAGTCAGTGGTAATAATATCCTACAGCTACCTGCATGTTGTGATTATCCTGTACACTTTACAGGAAAGAAGACCCTATCAACTATCTGAATTTCACAACAGAGGATACTGGAACAAAACAAATAGTTGCTATATACAAGGTGAGGCAGTAAATTACTGTGCAACAAGCAAAGCAAATTTCAACTAATCACTAAGTAGCTTACTGATCATGCTGCAATTTTAGACCTGCCTTTGCTGATTGTTTGGCTACATGTGAGGAGCTGCATGGTGGTGCAGTGGCTAGCACTGTTGCCACAGCAAGAGGGTGTAATTCCCAAAATGTCAAACTATTCTTTTAAAATGGAGCAACTGTCTCTCACTCTTGCAGATAGAAAATATTGGTTTCAAGAACTTTCCTGTCAAAGTGTCCCTGTTCTTCCCAACTAAACTGGAACATAACTTTGAAATGACAAACTATCAAGTCTTTGTCCAGCAGGTAACTAGCGACTGACAGAACGCTACTTTTACTTGATCATACTGCTGCTTACTATAGAATTACAAATCCTTAATGTGTCCTTAATTACCTTTTTATTTTTATTTTTTAGAACAAAACTCAATGCACAGGCATTACTGACACAAAATCTGAAGTAAGTAAAACATATTCAGTATCAAAATATTCTAACTGAACATGTTGTGGAATTACAAATCCCTTAATAAAATTAACTGTTGCTGTGTTACAGTACTGTTCGCCAGAAAAATATTGTAAAATCATAGTGTGTGACAGTTTCGTCCTGGAGAATGAATCACCCACTGAGTTCACATTGTCAGGAGACATACAATTCAGGGATCTCAAACAGCATGCAGCAGTACGTAGCAACGCACACACACACAGAGTATACATACCACATATACCATTGAAAGTGGTGAATATATCATGAACTGACACACTCTTACTTTGCAGAATATTGCCTTTCTTAAACGATATACTGGAGATGGCAGAGAGGTTAAATTTAAAAGCTTTATACATGTCAACTATGACAAGCGACGATATGTGCTGGACTCTCATAAACAACAGGTATGTTCACGTTTGACCACAGTTATGCCATTTTAAAGATATTGCTTTTTTTGTTTTTCAGGATAATATACTGTATATATTAACAAAATAAATATGGTTTTACGCAGGAGAAGTCCAACAACGATCCAACACTGAAATGGGTACATTCAGTCTACAAATAAGCAGCCACAACTATTTTATATACAAGACATTTTAGATCCTCATTCACATATATAGAGGCCCCACTTTGAACAATTGTATATTCTCTGCTAACAGACTGAAGTCCGGGTTGAGTTCATAATCCTCCCGGATCAACTGCTGATCATTTCAACTGGAGTTGGACTGGGACTGTTGCTTCTGATCATAATCACTGTCATCATGTTTAAGGTGAGAGTCGATTTACAAATTTAATTAATACAAGAAAAACTTCTATCCAAGAGAAACTTCGAGCTGTTGCTTGAATGTTAGTAACTGATCAAATAACGTTTAAATTATACTTTTCTGCTGCAAAATGTGCCTCTGTGGCGTTTGGTCTAATGATATTCTTGTGTCTGTCATAAGTTGGGTTGCTTTAAGAGGAAAACGCTTGAGTATTATCAAGAGCAGGACTACGACGCTGCTCTTCAGGTGGACACCCCTACACAGTCCACATCTGCCCCCACCAAGGAAATAGTCAGCCAATCGGAGACTAACGGCAAATGTGAACCTTCAGAGGAAGATGCGCTTCTTGATGATGGTGAGGCAAACGACAGCACCCCACCAGCTGATACAGAGGAGGGACTGGATTAGTGGGCTGACTGAATTATAATGCATGCAGGAATGAGTTGCCAGGAAATCAGTTAGAATTTTTGCACTTCTAGTTCCCTCATCTCAAAGTGTTTTTTTTTTAATGGGCTTTATAAGGTCTGTTGGCAACACAAGCTTAAGAGATTTTAACGTTTTGTTCTATGGCATAAAATATGTAAGTAAATACTCCACTCTTTAATTTTGAGGGTTTTAAAAAGAGCTGGCGCGAGGAGATTATTAGCTTTCTCCAGTGCTGTCAACTGCATCTCAGTCTTTCTCAGCAAGTAGCATTTGTTCAGTTATGATAGAGGTGACTAAGTATGAAACTTTGGTCACATGGTAAGTGCTGGTCTGGTATCATGGGGGAGATCAAAACCCTTATGACAAGATTCCCCTGGGGGAAAAAAAAATGCATGATGTATTTCATCACACGCAATAACAGTAAAACAGCAAGGATGCTGAACAAGTGACTGAATGAACACCAGAAACATCAGCTGTCTGTGAACATGGTCACACAGCGTCGACTGGGAAAACCAGGGGTCAGTGGACATTCACATCACATGCCAGACTTTTAACAGAGACAAAGATTATAATCTCCCCTCTACATACAGCAAACTGTATATCATGTGACCGACGTTCCACAGCTACAGCAGGTATAGGTAGAGGCACCGGATCAAACTAAATCTCTGGAAAAAGCTGTTTTTTGTTCATTTTTTTGTCAAATCATAACATGGTGAAATGCTTTTATATATAGTATTAATATTAAAGAGGCATGTTTTTTTGAGCTATTCACTAAATGATATGACTGAGCTGTGATGATTCACATCAATTGACATTTCATGTGTTGAAAATGGCTCAACACTGCAACAGTTTAAAATCAGCCCTGAACCCCCCCTGCACAGTATTTATTGAGCAAATGTGAGTTCTACTTGTATTATAGCCGAGTGCTTCTGAAAATGTATAACTTTTTGATAATTTGTGTGAATGCAGTGGTAGTTTAATGCATTGTTAATTAGTGAGCCTGCAAAACATTGTTTTTATAAGCAGCAGTCATTTGGTTTGTACCACTTTACAAAGTACACAAAATTGTGTGTATAGTTGCCAAGCGAGTGCAGAGAAAATCAATGGTAGAAACTGCTGCGTCTGTCTAAAGGAGGAGCAGCTTAAGGGGTATCTTCTAGCCTGAAAGGCAGTCACAATTAATCAAACTTTGTCTTTGAATGTTGTGTTTACAAAAAGTAAGCAACAATTCGTGTAAAGTAAACCTTCAAATTACTTACGAAATAACATTTTACATTTCAGGCCACAGGGAAAAAACAAGTATAATGTTGTGTTAACAGGAGCAGTATGATGAACTTTTTGGCCTTCCATTGTGTCTGTACAGTATATACGTATATATATATTTTTTTCTTATGCCCTTAGATTATCTTGTTGGGGCAGTGTTTATGCTTTCTATTAATAAAAACCCTCAACAATCCCACTGTGTCTGTGAGAGATTGAATATTGTATTAAAGTATTATCTTGTGTTTGTCATGTATCATTCTATGATGCGCCAGTTTTAAACAAAACACACAAAACACCCTTTTACTTGCAAGAGATAAAGTAAAAATATATTATCTTTTCACTGCCAACCTGCCAAGAAAAATGGCATCTCATATATGTTGTCATTTTTATACAGAAATGCAGCTGCAGAAAAACAAGTAGTAAAAAAAAACTGAAAATAAATGCAAGGAAGCCTTTAAACATATCTTGATGATTTAAACAGATTTCTTTAAATGAGTTTGTGACATTTGCTTCAGTTAGCTGTGGTTTGCCTTTCAGTGTGTTGGCAAAGCACCAAGCACTTTGCACCCTGGCATCAGTGTGACCGAAGCCCCAGAGCAGCTCATTCATCACACATGCTGGCCGTGCCATCAGTTGCATAAGATACATTGACATTGAGAAAGTAATAATAAAACTGCTGTGTTGTTGAGGGGAATACTTTAGTCTATGGGTTGAAAGAAGAATTCAACATAACCTGGACTACTTCTACAACCTCAGTGACTACTTACACTGAAAGAATAAGATAATTTATTCCCGACACTAACACTACACAAGGAAAAATAATGATTGTCACAAACCAGGCGGAACGGCCATGACAAAAAAGGGAGACGCATTCAATGAAACAGTTGATTAATTATTTATTAGGTTTAAAGTAATATAAAAGACAAACATAAACTAACAGTGACATGTGAAGTCAGTCATTTAAGCAGTGTAAGTGAGTGGGTGCGTGTAAAGTGTATATGCAGTGTTGTATAGTGTAGAAACAAACCATAACTGCAACAGAAACCAAAATGGGTGTCTCAGGAAGGAGCGAGAGACCAACTGAGAATCCAGAGGGTTTTTGTACTGAGTACTTTGGCACACAGGGCCAGTGTTGCAAATGGCCTCAGGTGTTTCCACTCTGCCTGACGACCCTCTGCCACACCCACCTCCACACCTGCAAGGAAGGCAGCCAAACGAACAGGCAGAGCGGGTCGTCACATTGCGCAGACAACATTATGCTGAACTGAACATTTCTCAATCATTGTGGAACTCGGGGGAACCAATTTCCAGTTAGTCACAAGTGGATGTAGAAAAGCCGTTAATAACAGGTTTGCATTTTACCAATTGTGTCAAATTGCCTAAGTTCAACAGCAACCGTCTTTTTATTGGGCCTGAACCATTAATTCATCACGTGTCCTTGGCTGCGATATCCAGAGAATACATTTTAAATGTCTGAGAGGCGATCAATTATTCATTTATAGCACTCATATTGTAGTTATTTATCTAAGTGCTCCACAATTATAATATAATTAACTGCCTCATAAATGCCCCATGTATGATTTATGTGTATATGCATTGTTTATATGTCCAGTAATTGTTTTAAACGGGGCCCAGAAGTTTACTACACAGGATACTTGAGTCTGCCCTCCGGCAGCTAAATGTATGTGGAGAAACACACAATTCTGATAGAAACCAAACCCAAATATGTTTTGTGAGATCAATATTACACAATTAATCAGAACAATAAATATAAAAAAAATCTACACAAAGTGTTTGGGTATTGTGTTGCGTCACCGTGAGCCTCCAGAACAGCTTCAGTGCTCCTCGTCATTGATGTCTAACTGGAGGGATGAACCGTTCCTCAGAAAGATTTTCCATGAGGATAATGGTGGAGAGTGCAGTGTAAGACGTCACTCCAAAAAAAGTGTATGATCTCATCATTTTCCTTCACTCATTCAACTCATGCATTTGTCATTTCAGGATTTCCATTATTTGTCACCCATGTGTATAAAATAAAAAATGATCTACACAATAAATACAAATGTCCACCCTTTGGACTTAAAGACTTTGATCATAAGTACTGTGACATGTTGGAAGTGCTCACCATCATCGTATCAGGTCTGCAAAGGCACTGGACTATGAGGGGGTAAAACACGCTATGAGGCGAGACTTCACACCTTAATCATTACCGTACAATCAATGCTGAGAGGTTGATCTTGGATCCTGTAACTAATCGCAGGGCGTTTTTCTTGATGGTTCACGGCAGAATACACAATGCTAACACCTGTTGGGTCCAAAAGTCTGCATGATCGGTGAAGTCGAGACATTTGGAGTCAGCCATGTTTCTTACTGTAGTTGAATGTTGGTTTTTTGTAGAGTTCTAATCAAATGCTCCGGTCACAGAAATCTTACGGACACACAACACCTGTCAAGATCTTTGGCTACGTCAAGATCTTTGGCCCATGCAACCAAAGACACTAAGATGATGATTACATTTTTCTCAGTTTAATATGATTTTTCTGGATGAATTGAAACAAAAAAAAAAGCAAAACAATTGTAAAAAGCCGTGTGAACTTTTTTTTTTTTTACCAAAAGTGACTTTGTTTGTTGCGTGCAAGGCCATTTATTCTGACTTTGTTTTCAAGTGACCAGAACAGAAACGATAACTATTTCACAGGTTACCTTTTAAAAGTAACTTTGAGCTGGTATTACTGAACTTGAGATGAATTTGAAATATGCACATCTGAAAAGCAATAAGAGACAAACATGCATGGAAGAATGAGTCAGTAGGACAAGAACTGAAATTACCATAATAAAATCATAATTGTGTTTTAAAATGAAGCGAAAATAATGAGTATATTGTTCTTCCACATCGACACCAACTTCTGTGATTTATGATCAAGGCGGTTGCTCATGATGAAGCTCCCTTCACCCCCCCCGCCCAACTGCACCTGCTCCCTCCCCTCTCACATGTTGGGGCCACTCGCTAGTTATTACAACATATTCATATCAACAAATCTGTGCAATGATATATTATCAGTGTATATCACAAACATTCCTGTACACAAGCAGAGCATACACATTTTGTAGTATAGTATTGATGAAATGTATTTGTCATTGTTGATGTAAAACAATACATGGTATCAAAAGGAAAATCTTTGAAGTTGTGAGTACTATTTTTAAAATTCTGTTTAATAAACCAGCAGAAATCCTTATTTAAGTCTAGAGTTGTTTATATCTGTGATACCTGAGAAACATGAACATTGAAAACAAATATAAGTTGAAGATTGTGCCATCAATTTGTGGTACAACCACAAACTTCAAAAGACAAATCAGAAGGCAATTTTTGCATGAAGTTTATTAATGTAGCACCATTGTAGAAATATTGTATTATTGTAAGTAAAATGTAAAATAAACTTAAAATATTTGAATGTTTAATTATTACAATGTTGGTACTACACAAAGATGAATAAGTCTTAAAGCTGCACAAAACTATAAATTCAAAGAAGACTGTAGATGTGAAATAAAGAACAAGATTTAAATATGTGCGCTCTCATAACACGGCTGTTATGACTGACCACAAGGCAAAATTAATAAAGATCATGAGTAAGATTTAACATGAAAGTAATCCAACGTTAATGTCCGAAATGGAAAACAGTGGTTTCTAAAGTCTTGAAAAGGTCCTTTAGTGGTGTGACCACCACGTCCCTATTTACCCACAGTACTTCCTCTGATGCGCGCTTCGGTCTTGGGCGGGTGTGATGCTGCATCAGCGACGCCACTTGTTTGCACGGCATGTTGTGTGCGCCTGAGTTTCTCACCTGAAGTTCATTTGTTCCTGGACTGCTGGGGGTAGATCCAACTGTTGCCTCCAAGGGGATTTGGAGAGTTTGGAGAGACGGCCGGTGCTCTGTTGAGTGTGCAACTGTTTTCTCAGTGGACGGGTGGACTGGGAGTCTTGAGTCTGCAAATTACAAACAATAACAGGAGAAAGAGGCACAACGTTATGAGCAGCCACAAATTATCCGGAGAAATGTGGGATACAACACAACTAGAAGCATAGAGCTTGACAGTGACCAATGGAAATTCCAAAAATAAAGCCCCAAGCATCTAAAGTGTGTTTAAATTCATTAAGTGTATTTCCCCGGTGTTTCTGACCGCGAGTAACCACGACTTGGGTGTGTTTTTCAGGTGCAGATTTAGTCATTTGGGGTCCCAGGAAAACCCTGTGCTTTGGATTTACTTTCAACCCTTTCTCTAACTGGGAATGGTAGAAGACGAGAGCTACTCAAAACTTCTTTTCTGAAGTAAAACTATTAATACTATGCAGTAAATGTCATGCATTCAAACATTTGAAGTGAACAGTGAGAGAGAGAGAGAGGCATTATCAGCACAATGGACTCAAATGTACTTAATGTCACTTATCAATTCTAATATAACACTAGCTAAATAAATAAATGATGCATCATGTTTGCGAGTCACATTTAAATCTGCAACGTAACCAGTAACATTTCTGTCAGTTCAATTTAGTACTACAATACTTAGTAGAAGTATACAGTAAGTCGTATACAGTTGAGTTGCATATTTTTGAGTTGTATTAAGAGCCTTTTTTGTAATTGATTTCAAGGTACATTGACTTACAATAATAATAATTTCATATTTTTCATATCTAAACACCATAGTAAATCAATAGCTGTCGGGGGCCCTTTTAGTTTGGGGTTGCTTACATTAACGGATAAGTCTGCCCATGGTGTTGTTTCCTGCACCAGAGTGTATTTCCCTGTCGTTTCTGACCGTGAGTAGCAGAGCACAGTGCTGAGTATGACGTTGTTTGTATGAGCAGAAACACCACAGGCCCAGCAGTCGGCCGGTTCTGAACGGGCACATTTTCAAAGGGCCCTGCACTAGTTAATATAAATCTCTTCAACAGGAATGAGTAAACAGCATACCTGAAGTGACACCGATCTGAAAACGGTCCTGTTGCTCTTCATCCTGTTGGTATGGGCTCAGGCACAGGAAGAGAGTCTTCAGAACTGAATTTGCAGTGTCAGCAACTTCAGATCCAACGAAATGAGGCATTAACAACATATTTCAGTAGTGCAAGTCAGAATTTCACACCGGTATTTGTAAGCAGTGTGGAGCACGTCCTTACCTTTGTGGGATGTAATGTCGGGCAGCTGCTGATGAGCATGCGTTCTAGATGGACTGTTACCACAAGGGGTTATACTGGTAGATACCTCACAGAGAGAATCAAAGCTACTCACAGGATTAAGTAGCTGCTTTGTAGGTTTATTTATGTGCTCTGTTGAGCTGTCTTCATTCTCTATTTTAGGATTAGGAGAGAAATAGGAGGATCTTGTTGCACAAGAGATTTCTTTGACAGTTCTAAGCTGGTGTTGGAGAGGCGTCTCTAAATCAGAAGCTCTTGGTTTGGAGTTTGATAAAGGAAATGTATTATCAACTGACTGGTTTGACTGTTGAGAGCAGGAGGAAGGCCTTGAATAATCTGGTTGAGATTGGATGCACGGGAGAGGAGCAGCACTGGGAGGGGCAGCGAAAAGGCCGAGGAAGGACCTGGCAGGGGCTTTGTCAGGTTCAACTGCACTTTGAACACGATTACTTCTGCAACCTGCAGGCTGTGGAGCAGGACAGGAAGAGTGGATGAAGCCTTGAGGACAAGGGGAATCTGGTCCAGAATCGTCTTTTGGCTGCATTACACTGTCAGTAATGGGGCTTGCAAAAAGGCTATGAAAGGGTCTTTTCAGGGTCTTTTTACATCCAACTGCCAAATCACCACAATGTGCCGTTTTACTGCTGCACTCTGCTATGATGGCAGTTGAATAAGGAGTGTCATGGTTGAGGACAGATTGTGTCTTTTTGGAGTGCAGGTGGATCTCAGTGGGTTGTTTTTCTACAAAGTGACGACTGCCGGAGTTTTCAGAAGCACTTGTCTTAAAGGAGCTGGTGACAGGTTTAACAGGAACAGCAGCTCCAACTATAAAGTCGGTGAAACCTGAAGGAGAAAAAGGCTTTGTTGAGGCTTGTGAGTCAGACGTCAGAACAGAGAGATGTGGCCTCAACTCTGTAGGACATTTGGAAGTAGATTTCTGACTTGATGGCCTTGAAAAAATGCTTTTGCGATTAGTGCGTCCAAAAGGAAGAACACCTTCACTTTTACAGGTGTCAGAGCATGTAATATCCAAAGGCAGGCACATGCATCTTTTCATATCTCCTTTGGATAACACAGACTTCTCTGCTACAGTAACAGGAGACTGCAGGAACTCCAACTTGACTTCATGAGCAGGTCTTTGAGCAGGTTTCATCGACTCTGGCATATTGCCACCTCGTGTCTTGTTATCCCTGGAGGCCAGAGTAAGACTAGGGCAGTTCTTTGAAAGCACACTGGTGTGCACTTGGAGGGATGACAGGCTCTTGAATAATTTTTCCTGGGAATTGTTCACTCCATTTCTGGTATTTACTGAACGCAAGACCTTCTCATCTTGGGTTTCTGAGCTTAGCATGGGCTCAGTAAACTCTTCAAAGTCAGTTTTTGGGGTATAGGACACAGTTTGTGCAGTAGGAGGGGTAGGTGAGTGTCTAAAGGTAGAATATTCCACTGATTTACAAGACCTGAGAACAGCATCCACAGAGTAGGGAACTTTGCTTTGGTTTGCAGAGACTGAACTGCCAGACTCATGACTTCCTGGAGTTGTAAAGAAACTAGGGAACGGTTTGAATAGTTGAGGTCCAAGCACTGCTGCAACTGAATAACAAACTGGCTCCTCATGTTTAAGGTCACTTGACGGAGGGAGGTGAGGTTGGGCAGCATCTGATGCATTTGGTGGGACAGCTTCCTCCATGATATCAGCCAGCTCTTTAGTCCGACAGTCCTTCTCAGCATTCGTTTCTCCGCTGTTGTAAAAGATAGGCCTACAAAAAAAAGAAAAGAAAATCAGCATGCTTCTTACTCATATCATAACTGGTATCAATGATTGATACCGGTTGATTGATATGAATTCCAATGCAAGAATTACATTGATGCATTTACAGAATCACAATGACAAGTTAACGTTTGTATGTGCATACCTGAGTGGTTGCAGGAGTGTATCAGAAGTCCTACTTGCTTCTGTAATTTCTGGCTCATCTGTGTTTTCTGGCTGTCCGGACGACTCCTGTTCAGCTTTTTTTGAAAGTGCATAGAGGTCATCATCACGTTTGAATACCTGCAGTGAGAAGAAGGGAAGACATGCGATTGCTTTCAGCACACAGCAATGCCTATAAAACATTGTAAGAACATTTTCATGAGTGGATTCTTACATACACACCTCATGCAACAGTTGGTTTGTGACGTCATTGAGTGGCTCGTGGGAAAACTTGCAATCCGCTCCTTGAGAACATTTTCCTTTTCTGTGGAAGAACTTGCAAGGAAATGACTGTGCAGCTTAGTAAAGGAAATATTAGATATTTAACAACCCTGAGTCTCAATAGTACAAGACTTATAACTGCAATGGGTTTATGAAAAATCTAAAGATCATTGCTGTTCAACCAAAGGATATTATGCATGTATGGGCAGCTCTCTTCCTTTGTGCAGACTCCTTGAACGTAGTACTTGCACACTTCTTTGACGAGATTGTTGTATCCCTTAACATGTTCCAGTTGGCAGTCGTCCTCCTGTGTGCAGTTATAATGACACTCAATAAAGGCCAGAATAATGAGACACTGTTCTATCCTACAAGTTACTTAGACATGTCAACTTTGGTATTATATAACTTTTTAAATATATATACACATGTTTAACATAACCTGCCTTGATGCACCTTCCCCAAAGGAAATGTCGACAAATTAACCGCCCATCCACCAACACGCCATTCTGGTCCTTGAACTCCTGTGACATTAACTTTGGACGTTTCACTTGGACGCCCTGAGAGGAAAGATGAGCATAACGTTAAGATTCACAAACATTTTGAATCAATACATGATTAAAACTTTCTCAAGGTAGCTTTTTTTTTGACCCCTTGAACTAATATCAGTGGTGTATTCAAGCTTTTGTTTGGGGCAGTTACTGAATTACTTAAAGTTACACTTCAGAACTTTTAACTGGTTATGAACCATTCTCACTTTTATACTGATGCCTCTATATATGACCTACATAAGTGAACAAGACCATCAGCAAGTAGATTGGCTATCAAAAGCCTTTTAGCTCTGTGACTTTTCATCCTATCATCTGACCCGGTTTTAAAAAAGTTCTTTGGCATTGTTTTTGACAATATACAGTCGGCCCTGTTTTCATTAGGCATGCAAAAGGACTCTGCAAGGCTGACACTCTTGCTTACCTGCTTGTCATTTCTATTTTGTCTGTATCTTCCACCTTGTCCCCAAGTAGGTTGAGTCTGATGGCTTCCACCTCTATTAGCAGGTCTCCATCTATCCTTCTGTTGATGATGATTTTTCGGCCACTCCGGCTTGTTTTTCTGCTGCTTGTTCACATTACGGTTATTTTTAGTTGTGTAATTCTGACCTTTGTTATTGTGGTCAGGTTTATAACTATGATTATGTATCACTTCTTTGGTGAAGCCAGCACTTGCATGTCTGCTATCAGTGTTATAGATATTGTAGTGTATGGCCTTGGAGTCATCTTCTCTGAAGGATGCACCATTAGAATTTCTGGTTGTCTGGACTTCGTGACATTGCTTCTGTGGAAAGAAAATGCAAAGAAATGAAATGTCAAGGACATGCCTGTTAATATTGTAAGACAACCTTTTTAAGTTTGGGAAGTACAAATACATGTTGTGCAGACAAGCAGCACAAACCCCGCATAACTTACACAAAGGCGCAAGTAGACCTAGAGGAAACTAATGCTTGCAATATTACATTTCTGCACTAAAAGATGTAGTTATTAAAATTTGAAGTCTACAGTTTGTGAGGCATTGCATCGCATCATACTGGGAGGAGTTACAAATATTTTGTCCAATAAACAATATCACTGACGGAACACTAAATAAAGTTGTGTGTACTATTTGACTATGAACATCAGATTTCCTTAATAGTAATTGATTATTTTTTTCTCATCAATTCAATGATTTCATTTTGGCCATATCGCTTTGCCTTTTTGCAACAATCCTGTTTAAAATGCCAATCTCATCTTTATTCATTTTTTTTTAAATTTTCCTCTTTCATTTGTGTTCTATTGAGTTCTGCTGTTCGTCTCATTTAAAAATAAAAAAATAATTGATTATTGTAATTGACTCAAGTGTTTATTTGATCTTTCACATTGTGAATTTGACGGATGACAAAAACCTACATTACAGAAACAAATCTCCAACAAACTATGCCGCCAGTGTGCAAGAATTCAACTCTTTCTCTTGCATTAGCCAACACTGAAATGTTACAGCATTACAACCTTCACGGGTGTCAGGTTTATTGCAGGGCTGTTGTATTAATTAAGCTGCATTAGTATTAGCTGGGTGCATCACATAAACTGGAAACTGAGTGGATCTACAACGATGCAGAAACCTAGAATTCTCCCCGAGATGTAATGGTGCAGTCAACACAATCACTTTCACAAAATGCGACATAAATCTTTTGCAAGTTTTGCAACAAGGACCTAACTTTAATAAATAGTAGAAAATAATAAATAGAAAGCATCCTGATTGGAAACATTACAAACTGGCATGAGATGTGCACAGCAAATGACAGGAGGGCTCTACTGCGGGTGATTTAAACTGCTCAGAACATCATTGGTACCCATCTACCCAGCATCACTGATATGACGAGGTGCCTGCGAAGAGCCCAACAGATATTAAAAGGCAGCTTCTTTCTTCAGAATGTGAGACCCCTTAATTAACCCTCCACATATAATGTTTTTGTTTTTCCTATGTCGAAAAATGGCACTACAAACAATGACAATAAATTAAGTTAATATTAGTTAAAGTTCATCTCACCTTTTTATAAGGGCCAGTATGCTCAACCTGGATTTTCCTCTTTCTAGCATTGCCTCTTTGACCACTCCCAGTCTCGTTCCTGCAAAACAAAATAAATATTTAATTAATAATGACCATAACATGCAAATCACAGCTAATGGCCAACTACAGTTAAATACTGTCACCTGTGCGTAAAGGCGGGTGGACCAGGGCTCTTGACACCTTCTTCGACAGCAGCTAGACCCGTGAACAGGTTTGCGAAAGCCATTTTATTTTGCTCGTCATTAGTTAGTTGTTTCTTCTGGTGGAAAGACTAGCAAGATGTGGATGTGGCCACCTAGTCAGAAGTTATTTAAGTAAAAATCTAAATGTTTAACAGCCACTTGCAGAGAGGGGAATGCTGCCTCGCGCCCATAAAACAAGAACTACAACAAAGCTGCTTTAGTCTCCCCAGGTATCACCTATCCTACCCTGCTTTTCTGTTCAGGCCTGAAATGCCAAACATACGTTTAAGTTTGATTTGCGGTCCAGTAAATGTGTGTATCACATGTCTCACTCCATCGTTGCCGCATCGTTCACCTCTTCTTCCGTGTTTGAGAAAGACGTCATGTCCCTGGACTCTACCAAATACGGACAGAGGGGGGTGTAGACCGAAGACCCTGATACTTGAAGACATCTAGCGGTAGAATTATGTATCGCAGGATATATTTGGTACATAATGTATGATGAACTTCAGGATTATAACAAGTACATATACCCTGTTGCTGATTTTTAGAACAAAATGTGTTTTGTGATGCAGCTCTGGGCTGGGTTGATGTAAGGACTTGATGGTCTATTATAATGGCAAATTCCACGAAAATCTGTCTGTTAACGGAAGACATTTTGACATGTCACAGTAGGAAAAGCAGAAATGTAAATAACAAAATTAATGATGGCTGAGTTCTAATTATCTGCTCCAGTTTCAGGGCCCTGGTATTAATGTGTGCTGACTCATTGTCACACTGTCATGGCTTATTTGGACACTTGAACTAAACAGAGCCATTATAATTGTTAATATTATCAGTAACACGTGTGCTTTTCCTACTATAATGAGTCAAAACGTCTGCTGTGAAAAAGGCCTGTAGTAGGCCTATTGGGCTACTTATAAGCTAAATATCATATCCAACTAGGAAATGGAAAGAGACTCACTTAAACTGTACACACTTTAATAATGACTTTAAATTGTAGCCAACAAAAGTGCCAAGACACTACATTGTTTTATATCTCAGTTTTTATTATTTTGATGAGTATGTTACATGTTATTTTATCCGTCTTTTTTTTTGTAGCCTTTATTCGACTCCCATTCCTATCTCTGACTCTCCACCTGAGTTAAGTGATTATTTTATGTTTATTATTGTATTCCCCAATTTGAATTGTGCATGTTCCATTGAGAACATAAACCATGCTCTTTGTGAAAATCAATGGTTGTACATGAGAAGTATCTGCTGTTCTGTCTTCCTTGTCAATTATCAAATTTAGCCCAAATATAACCTTTGTTGTCCCGTGAGTTGTCACATTACAATTATCATCATTTCTCGTTGTTCTGTGATGAAATACAGTTGCACTCAAAATGATTGGCAAAATTGACAAACTTTCAGCTGTTTTCAATAAACAACTCAAACAAGGACCATTTAAATAGCTCAACACAACTAATACTACAAGTGGTTTCTCCAAATTCAACACAAAATGCCACTTTTCATGACTACTGCAGTCTCAAAATGATTCAACCCCTTCATGACAAGCATCTTTAGTACTTAGTAGAGCACCCTTTTGCTGTCATGCCCTGATGCAAACGTGATGCATAGCCAGACACCAGTTCTGACAGCGTTCCTCAGGAATCTTAGCCCGTTCCTCATGGGCAATGGCCTCTTGCTCTCGAATATTCTTGGGTTTGCGTGCTGCAACCGCCTTCTTCAAATCTAACCAGAGATTTTCTGTGGATTTTCAAGTCAGGCGACTGTGACGGCCACTCTAGAATCTTCCAGGACCTTTTCTGAAACCAAGCCTTGGTGGACTTTGAGGTATGCTTGGGATCATTGTCTTGTTGGAATGTCCAATGACGCCCAAGCTTCAGCTTCATCACAGATGGCATGACGTTTTCTACTAGGATTTCCTGATACTTGATTGAATCCATCTTGCTCTCCACACACTGCAGGTTTCCAGTGCCAGAAGAAGCAAAGCAGCCCCAGAACATCACCGAGCCACCACCATGCTTCACTGTAGACAGGGTGATCTTCTCAGTGTATGCTTTGTTCTTTCTCCTCCAAACATACCGCTGATCCATAGGCTCCAATATGCTCAAAACCATATTAATAAGCCACAGAAGTTTTGGGATTCTGTTCTGTAGAGCGATGAAACAAAACTGGAACTTTTCGGGCCTATGGATCAGCGGCGTTTGGAGGAGAAAGAACGAAGTATACGCTGAGAAGAACACCCTGTCTACAGTGAAGCATGTGGCTCGGTGAAGCCACCGCCATTGAATTTGAAGAAACCACTTGTAGTATTAGTTGTGTTGAGCTATTTAAATTGTCCTTGTTTGAGTTGTTTATTGAAAACAGCTGAAAGTTTGTCAATTTTGCCAATAAACCTAATTTTCCATGGGGGTTGAATAATTATGAGTGCAACTGTACCTTAAGATTTGGTTTGGCTACAGATTTGATAGACTAATATACTGAACTGAAAATATAATAGACTGTGGTCTGTACTACAACACCCACAACACAGTCTCTCATTTAAATGCTTTAGCAAATACACTGATGTATATTTAACATAAAAAGTTGGGTCTATGGTTTTGGGTTAGAATAAATCAAATCCACTCTACCCAGTTTGCTTCTCTTTGTTACTGTCAAGAGCAGTTCAATCTTAAATGTAATTGAATCCCCTCGGCTGTATGGTGAACAAGCACACTCTGCCTCTCGTTAATCAAAGAGATAGCGATAGAGGCTGGACTTTGTTCCTCCACATAGAAGGACGTCCCTGTGTCGGGCTCAAAGTTCAGGTCACAGACACTTTGGTTTTGCCTCTAAGTGTGTTTGTGTTTCCCTTCAGTATCTGAACTCTTAACTGTCCATATTGAGCTGTTTGAGCGACAGAATGACCCGTTGGGCTCTTATTGCTCCCCTCCTGCTGGGCCTGTTCATCCACAGTGCTGTCAGTCAAGATGCTGAGGACCCTGCTGCAACCGCACTACCACCACAGGGCCAGGCCTCTGATGGCACACAGGCGGAGGACGAGGACGCAGAGTGGGGTATGAATTCCCTCAGAGACAGCTTTGAGTCAGTCGGCGGATACTTTGATTCAATGCTGGAGTTCATGGGTGGACGTGATGGAGTGTGCCAATACCGCTGTCGATATGGTAAGTTGGTTAAATGGATGAGTACGTATAGTTTAGCGTTAGAATGATACTGATATTGATCAGCCGCTGTGGACCACCACTGATGTATCATTTTAGAGCTTCAAAATATTTTACAATTTAATTTTAATTGAAAGGAGGAAATGTATTACTGCACTATCCCCTTAATACTGATTATGTGCAGTGGAAAGGGTTAGTCTAAGGGTTGGGTGTCCTATGCTTCAGTTGATAGTGTTTCCACCCCAATAACAATAAAGTCCTTCAAGAGAAAAAGAAAAAGAAAACATGTCTTCCTTTTTGGAATCAAATTGTTAAATTCATAGATATTGAATAATTGCAAAAAATCTGCCTCTTTTACCTAAAAAAATACATAAACAGAACATATACGTCTCAAATGAAAGCCTTTTAATTGCCATGTTTCTCACAATAAGAGTGTTCATTTGATTACACTTCACCACATTGAATATATCATTTTTGTAAATTATATCTTATATCTAGCAATGATTTGAAATTAGATTTTTAAGTGGTTTAAATATTCACATTTTAAACTACTTTTATTTATCCAAACAATGGTGTTAAAATTAGTTACATTATTACTATTTGAAACACAAATAAAATATCAATTACACCATTTCCCAGGACAGGCAGTTTATTGACAGTGTATGCAATACCTAATCTATCTCTGCCCAAATGCGCCTCTGTTGCTCTTATAAATGGTAAGTGACAGTGTAATAGGTTGACATTACATTATAAACTGTGTAATGTGGTTAGTAGTCTGAACATTGCCTGTATGGAACAGCAATGCAACAATGTAAACCCAATAACAATAATGCACTGATACTTATCATATCACCATTGTACTTATCATAGCGGTTATCATCTGGAAATGGACTGTGACCCTATAATGATTCATGCAGTGACTGGGGAAGGTTACTAATAACACGTGAACCAAATAAGTAACCTTTATCTCTCTATGTGCATGGGTCAACTTTAAACCCATGTGGTTTTCTAACTGCTGTAATACATGACCTACATCTGATATTTTGTCTGCTTCTCCTTTCAGGTAAAGATCCTATTCCTCGTCCTGGCTACCAGATGCCAGAGCCTGATGGGTGTAGCTCCTACTTCTTCGGTCTTCCTGTTCCAGAGGGGGTATGCTTCTTCTGTCTGTTCAGGACAAAGTCATGGGGATTTATGGAACTTGGAAATTTGATTGATACGTATATACAAAGCTGAAACTACATGTGGAGCAAAAAAACATCCTTCAGCAAAAAGAAAATAATATATAACCTTTCGTCCTTAATAATTATCATACAGTCCATAAACGTCTTTATTTGACTGCATAGTGGAATACATTTTGAGTTTACAGCAAAAATAACCACATGTGAATGCCACATACAAATACATGCATCACCTCTGTTGTATACCAGATGGATATGGGCATCCCTGCCATGACCAAGTGCTGCAATCAGCTGGATATGTGTTACGACACCTGCGGCTCCAACAAGTACCGCTGTGACTCCAAGTTCCGCTGGTGCCTCCACAGCATCTGCTCGGACCTCAAGAAGAGTCTTGGCTTTGTGTCAAAAGTTGAAGGTTGGTTGTTTTAACCCATATTTTACCCAGGACTGAGCTACTGAGCCCATCCCTGTTTTTCAGCACCATTCTGCCTCAACTTCAGCTTTAATAATGCAGCAGCTGGTTTAGGTACACTCTCTACTTGCATACAATATTTACAATTGTGGTCTCTGAGGGGACTGAAATACACCCAGTATGTGACAGCTGAAAAATATGACCAGTTGTGATACTTCCTAGTATTTTTTTATTTCCTACTATCCCCCCCAAAAATCGGCTAATCAGAAAGAAAGAAATTCAAATACAATACAAGTGATTAAAATGCTCAAGTGCTTAAAACCTGCCAAGTACTGATAATTCAGAGGACTATGACATTAACTGTATGCTGAGTGTATTTTAGAAAATGTGAAATATGACCTATTATTCCTTACATACTGCTGTGTGCTGACTGCACATTCCTGCTTCTGTCACTTTCTCTCCTCAGCATGTGAAGCAGTAGCAGACACCTTGTTCAACACAGTGTGGACTCTGGGCTGCAGACCCTACATGAACGGCCAGAGAGCGTCATGCCTCTGTCAGGGAGAGGAGAAGGATGAACTTTAAAGCATGAAACACTCTGCTATTTATAACACTATCAACTAGAGCAGCTGTTGCAAAGACTGCTGTGTGGACTACTTGAGTAATTTATTTGGAAGTTATTGTTCTGGTCATTACATTACTTTGCATCAAAATGTAGATGTTATTGTTAAAAGTTCAACTTTGTTGCAAGCCAAAACTGTATTTGTTTATTTGTCAATAGTGTTTGTGTATTAGCACCAATACAGTTGGCAAAAGGCATAATATGATTTTGGAAAAGCAAAAATATTGTGGCGTGAACTAAACCTTACAGCACATGGCCTCTTGTGCTTCATACCTTTGGGTATGTATTACCATGTTATACTTAGTATACAGTATGAATAAATGTTATGGACACATGCATGGACGTGATTATTTCATTTCATGGTACACTACTGACACCATTCAATACAAGCAGAGATGGTCGAAAGTATTTTTTGCAAGTCTCAAGTCTCTTATGGTTGTCATAAACAATCTGTCATGTAAGTCTGCTTAGAACACAGCATAGCTATATCTAAGGAAGTCAGAGCATGTACTGGGTCATCACTCTATTGGTAGTATCAGCATTGATTCATATTTTGGTACACAATCACTTTAAACAGATTATTGAAAACTTTCCTTTAAAGTAAATGACTATATTTTTGCCCCTAAAAATGGATATAGACTTACCGTATTGTATAGTTACACTGAATCTCCTGTCAGTTTATAATCTACTGTAATTTAAAGGCGCAGTTCACCCCAAAATCAAAAATACATATTCTTCCTATCAATAGATTGTTTTAGTGTTAGTTGCCTTGTTTTGGAGATATCAGCTGTAGAAATGTCTGCCTTCTCTTGAATATAATGGGACTGTAGTGACCGTTGCTTCCCAATAAAAGTCACTACGGTTGCTGAAATGTTTGTTCTGACGCGTGCCATAAATAACGAAGTCCAGTTTCCAATATAGGCATTTTATTTCTCACATAATCAGAGTTCCACCACTTTCTCTTCAGTTATCCATTTTCTCCATAAACCAATAAATCATAACATTTACATTCGTTAAATGTGCACGGTCAAAAACTGTTTGCTTCTGCCCATTAGCAACAAACTGTGTCCAATGACCCCACTGATTACATTACCTGTGCTCTGATTTACACCGGCACTACGCCCCCATGTGGTGGGAGGTTGTACAAAAACAAAAACAACAAAATGGCTCTTTCAGGGACTATATGGCACTCGGCTTGTGGTGCTCAAAGCTCCAAAAGACACATTTGAAAAACTGAAATCACAATTTCTGGAAAGAGACATTGCCGTTGAGTCTCAAAGCCTTTGAAGGGTAAGTCCAAAGTGGTGAGAAAGTTAAGGCTGTGTTGACTCAAAGGGTCTATAAAAGGCTCATCTACTGTACACTGAACATTTCACAAATAAAGACTTCAGCTTCTAGCTCTCCATTGTCACAATTGGCTTCATTTACATCTGCAAGCTGAGGTTGTTTTTGTTTGTTTTAGTGGTCCTTTGTCTGCCTAAACTTTACGTACAGCTAAATGTTAAAGAACTTACAGTGTTGAGCTGGTCAGAATGACCTCGAAAGAGAACTGCACCGATTTAGTATCGACTACTAACGTTTCAATATTTTTTTAAGACTTCACTTGGAAAAGCAATTTGAATGGAAAACACCTGCACCTGACACTTTTAATATAAAAAAATATATATTCATCAACAGATTAAGAAAGCCTGCAAAACATACTTTGTTTAATCAAATGTAGCCTATACAGCACCAAGAAAAAACGGTCGTTTAAAAACAGAGTTACAAAGTAGTAATATTCACAGAAATGTGGAGCTGACACGGGTAATACCCGTCTCAGCCCAAACCGGCAATTAATGGCACAAAAATATTCTTTTGAGAAAGATAAAATATACTTGTTAGAGTTTGAGGATGATTCAGTACAAAACTGGAAATGACTAAATACTAAATGGCGCTGTAACACCATTAACTGCATGTGTAAATAATGAATGTTGAACATGATCCACATGGTCCGTCGGGGCTCACAGCAGGTTCAAATTATCCGTCATGACGATCCACACGTCTACAGAGAAAGGAGAAAAAAATGTAAAAGACGTGAGACCGAATGACAGTTACTCAATGCTGCTGACAAAATTCCCTTTTTTCATTGTGCAGTTAATAAAGACTTAATTTCTTAATTTTTAATGGACATTTAATTCTATATTATCACAATATAATTTAAGTGAGAAAGAAAAAGACATTCTGTGATGTTTTGTTGGTTGGAATTTGTTTTTATCCCTCAACTGGTGCATCATAACATAACTTAACGTATTTCATGTTAAATTGGTAGAATCATAAATAGGTACCGATGAATCATTGCAGAGGAAAAACATTGTATTTGATCAGTGCTTACGAAACAGAAGCAGTCCAAAGCGGGAACATTTATTCATTGATGAAGACACACGCTGTAACGTCACACTGTGATTTACTTACTTCAACCAGTCTGAGGGGAGAGGGAGTTGGCTGGCTGTGTGACTTTCTGCTTCATCTTCTGGTTAAACGCTTCAAGCTTGAAATAAAAGAATAGAAGTGGTTGAACAATACAGAACATAATTCATGTTTTACATTGTTGTAGCAGTACCGGCATATACAAGAGCAGGATAAATGTGTAAAAAAAAAAAATGTCATACGTAGGTGCGGTACTCCATGAGAAAACATTAAATTCCCTTTCTGAAAATGTTGAGAAATCCTAAAGATTGATCAAGCATCTCAGAATCATTCTTAAGGAAAAACCCCTCCTGCCTCATAGTAGGACCTACCGTACACTGACTTTCTGTGACATCGCCGTTTTACAACACTTTTAGCAGCAAAGTTAAAAATATGATCACATGTTGTAGTGTTCGGACAGTTTCAATTTCAAATACCAACGGAAACATTTGATATGCAGAAAACAGCACCACTCTTTTGTGTATAGGTTCTATATGTAGATATTATCTATGATAATATATTGTAGACAATAGATAACCGAGTGATTTAGGTTATGTATGCAATAAAATGATGCCACGTTTTCTAAGTGGCTTATCTAACATTATCAAATTAACCAAAAATACATCTGAGGCTGTAACACTGGCAAGTGTTCATGATTTAAACAAATGTATACAATATAAACTTGTAGACTCAATCATTTGATTCAGCTCAGTAAAATACACTAGTCAGCTCTATCCATAGTTTTACATATATAAATGTATATATAGTTTTACAATGCCTATATCAGCACTTCATTTTGCATGTATTGTGCATATTGCACACACAGCGATGGTTTTGCTTGGGAGTGTGGGCACATCGCCATTAAAAGCTTTCTTCATGATAATGGTCATAGAATGGAAAGTGAAAAATAGGCGTAATCATAGAAGCTAGTCTCTATTCAGACATGGTGTAATTTGAATACTATTTAATGAAATGAACATCTCTGATGAACACATTTAGGCCTACTTTCCCAGTAGCCTCTTCATATACTGACAGTTTATTTACCATGCTGGTTATTCTAGTAATTTATTTAATATTACTGGGGGAAAATGGCTCAGCTTTCACCCGTTTCTGTGATTGCTGGACAGCCTGTATAAGTAGTGACGTTGCATTTATCCAGTTGCCAGATATCTTAGTGTTGTGATCACTTTTATTTCTGGTATTACAGCGTTATTGCGATGGGTTGGAGAAGTGAGCGAACCTCGAATGAAATTCACCACAAACATTCTCCCTGCACGATGTCATCTGTGGCGTTTCATTAATTTACTGTTATTCAGCGTTTTAGAGAATATTTCTCCTACATCTGTGACTTTCCACCATTTTCTCTTTCTTCTTTTGATTCTCAGATTCTAAGATTTTTCTTAGCATTTTGTCACAAGGAGCAGCTCCTTGTACTAGAAAGCTTTATGAATACGCCCCCTGGTCCTAAAGATAGGAAAAACATTTACATCCCTAAGAATCATTGGTGATTTCCTACTCTGAGACACTTGATAAATATGGGCCCTGATCCACAAATGAAACGCATCAATTGTTGTTCAGCTCATCATGGCCCAACTTTTCAGCAGATTTAAGTGAAATACATCTTATATATATATCTTGATAACAAGCATACAGACGAACGGGACAACACCTCCATTATCTAACATCACAAAATTAGATGCATTAGGAAGCTGATAAAACCAACATTCCACCAACCTTTTTCCTCAAGTTCGCTTTAATTTCCTTGTCCGTTGGCGGTCGTTTTTCTTCCGACTGCTCGGCTTTAGTGTCATCTTCTTTAAGCTGTGGAGCCTCCACCTTCTCCACCATCTGGATTTCTCTCAGTTGTCGTTGTCTCTTCCATATATTGAATTGCGGCTGCTCAGTGCTGATGACCTGCAGGCAGCGACTGCCTGAAGCAGATCCAGTTTGGCCTTCACTCTTAGACAGATCTGGATTCACAAATAGGTTGATGTCAAAAGAGCCACGCTGATGTGGGTAATCCACGTTAGGTGCCACTACAGAGCCAGGAAAGCTTTGGTAGGTGTTTTGTGGAATAGGACGCCCGCTAGTATAAAAGAAGGGAGGAATGGCACCCTGAGTAGGTGCCCAGTAAGAACTTAAATCAGCGCTGTTGATGCCACTGTGGTCGGCAGTGTACAGTGAGTCTTGGGGTAAACTGTTATCTGGCTGGGTATTCGTATGGTTTTGTTGACACAGATGTTGATAAGAAGAGATTTCTTTGGGGTATTTTTCGCCTTCGTCCCTGTACCTCTGTTCTTCCTTGCTGTCCTCGTTACCGTCATGGCGTGTCAGTCCATCTCCCCTTCTGTCGCTGTGTTCAGACCTTCGTCTCGGTTCTCTGCTGAGCGAGCGCCAACGGCGAGAGGGGCTTGGACTGTTGCTTCTAGAGCTTGATCTTGAGGAGGAGGAGCAGTTACTGTAATGTCTTTGAGAGCCCCTCTGCCGACTCTCCTGCTCTACTCTTGTGTCTTCATGCTTCTTCCCATACAGCCTCTCCTGAGTCCGGTCTGCTAATTTGCTCATCTCTTCCACTTCCAGGCTCAACCCCAGAGATTTAAGAATATTCTGGAGCTGTTCACGCTGCTCGTCCACCTTTGTTTTTTCTTCTTCTTTCTGCTTCACTGCGGAGGGAGACTTGGATCGACTCCGGTCATTCTTCTTCTCGTCATCATTAGGTGGGGAAAGTCTCTCACTGAGGGATCTCTCTTGACTGGGCGGGTCAGATTTCCTCTCTCCACAGCTGCCCGGCAGCGAGGCTCCACTATCTGATTGCTGGCTCTCTCTCCTGAGGGTTGGATCTGACTTGTTCTCTACGCCAGGAACAGGAATGTTGAGGAGCTCCTCACCCAAAGGAAGATCCACACTGTCATCGTTGACAATCCTACTGAGGAAGTCCATGTCCACTCCTTTGTTGAGAACGCTGAGGAAGCGCAGGAAACCCTCGTTGACGCTGTTCTCGTTGTCTGGTGAAGTAATGCTTGGGCTGGAAGGAGGTGGTGTGAGGTCAGGGACCTGGGACAAATCAGATAAACAGAAGTATTAGTCTTTGTTAAAAACAATTCATGAAGACATAAACTAATTAAAACCAGACGATCAACTGCTGAAAGTTTGTATGTTTTTATCCACTTTCTTTCCAAGTTTCTTACCAAACAACAATTTTATACTGAAAGAACAATAATTAATCAAATAATCAAAACCTCCTATTGTAGCATCACTAAAATAAACAACCCAATAACTTTTTTTGATTTATAGAAGGCACCGTCTGTTAAGAAATCTTGATTTCAGTATGAGATTATTTATGACATCAAATATCATCCATTATTTTGGTCCTTTTGGACGGAAGGTATAGCTAGCACAAAAATTACAATTTGGGATTAAACCCTCCATCTCGTTTACATCATCAAGCTTACGGTGCCCTGGGAGGATGCAGTGGAGGAGGCCTAGGAGCGCAAGAAACTGAGATACGCTGAGCTTGCAGCCGACGCTCAACAACATGGCTGGAAAGCAATGGTCTGAATGGAGTTGAAGTAGGCTGCCGAGGGATCACAGCCACATCAAAATCAAGGCTACTCTGGGAGATGTGAGTCTGAGGCAAGGCCCACCGGCAAGCAGTCAAAAGGCTCCCTCTACCTCCTCTTTACCTAGGGGTTCACCAGGGTGCTTAATCAAACAGAAGACCAACCAAAATTGCAAATAACATTACAAACCGCGATGCTTGCTGGCAAAACAAATGGATCGCTACATCTCCGCTTCATTAGTGCCTTCACTCTGAGCTTCAGAGGATGGTCGTCCTGCAGCAGACCGTCTTTGCTCAGGCGGGATGAGTTCATTCTCTCTTTGGGTGAACGGACCTGAGAAAAAAAAACGAGGCAATACAATAAACTATAATATTATCTGGAAAACAGCTGAAGCTGTAAACACTGATTCTCAAAGTAAAATAATGATCTAAAGCAGCAGATTGGTTACCTGATCCAACAATCCGTTACTCACCTTTGACAGACAGCTGGCAGGATGTTGTTGCTTTAAAATCAAATTCACCCTGTCTCTAAGAGTTGCACCGATGCATGATGCTGATTCATTACAGGAAAAGTCTGGAGACGTTGTGCTCTTCACAAACGGTTCAACTGTTTTCAAGGCAATAGCAGCTTTCTTAAGTAGTATTTGCTCCTCTATCTCTCTCAGCTCTTTCCGCTTTCTTGCCAGCTCTGGATCCTCTTCATCCATTTCAAGGGCTTCTCCATCTGCGTCCTCAACTTCTGAGTCCTGTGTGTAAACGTTGTGCAGGGGAAGACTGAGTTCCTCCCATCCCATGCTGCTTTGAGTTTCATCAGCAGTCCGTCTTGCATATTTGCAGAAAGTGTGCCACTCCTCATTGGTGACTGAAGCATCCTCCATGCTGTTGTAGACATCATTCTGGTGATTTGGACTCAGACCTCTCTGGAATGAGCGAACAGCACCGTGATCCCAGTCGAGTGGATTCATCCTTCAGCCACTTTCTGTCACGGTGTATGCAGTCAGTGCACTCTGCAGAGTAGAAACAGTGTGGAGAGATCACTGTGGGATATTCACAACAGACCTGTGTGTGCATAAACCAAACTCTATGTAAGATGGTGTGATATAACAGGTAACGATAAGTTAAACACTGTGTTTAGATAGCTTAGGCTCGCAGCTAACAGATTGTTTACCTACTACTGCGACTCAAACTGCCCGTTCCTCTGTCCAATCGCGGACAAAGGGGTTGTTATTTTAGGGGGTGTTACTTCGAAAACGATGTTCTTGAAAAGCGAAATGTCAAAACTGACCTTTAGTAAGCTTCAGGAATAGGTAAGGACACTCGTTAGTGTTGAAAATTAGCTTGAAGTAAGGAAGAGTGGCTAAGAATGCTGTTACTGCTTCAGTGGTGTTGAAAAGTGGATGTTAACAGCGCCCCCTGCTGGAGGGAGTACCGACACCACAGTGATAACTCGGCTAATGAGTAAAGGCCATTTACAAGGTGTTATTGTTGTGCAACGACATGCAGTTTGTAGTCCAATTTTGCTACCTAAGAAAAACATTTAAAAAGTAGAAATAACATAAATGTAAAGGCTGAATTTAGGAGTCTAACAGCCTAAAGGAAAGAAGCTGCTCTGAAGTCTGGTGGTATCCCTGCTGATACTTCTGTATCTCTTGCCAGACGGCAGCAGGGTGGACACGTTGTAGCTGAGGTGGGCAATGTCTTAATATCCTTTGGGCTCTTCGCTGGCACCTCTTGACACCAATCGGTAGATGGGTACCATCATGTGCACATCCCATGCCAGTTTGTCATGTTTCCAGTCAGGATGCTGAAAAGGTGTACAGCCTAGCTGCGTAACCGATACCCTCCCCCACCTCCGCACGGAGCGCTGGGAGACGGCTTGTCCAATAACCTCTGACCTAGGTAACCGAACGCACCCCCCAAAATTACACGCGAGACCGTCCTAGCCTGCTTAGAGGGGCGACAACCAGGATAACTAAATACCACTAGCCACCGTCGTATCACTTATTTCAGGCTAAAAACGTCGGTCTCCCCGACAGCCGGATATCAACGGATTTAGGGGTGTGTGTGTGTGTGTGCAATAGGTGTGGGAGGACTGGACGTACACCAGGGTGGACCCGCTCTCTTGGGTCACCCCTGGAGGAGGAACCCTGTGTGGTTGGGAACCTCGCTTGGAGGTAGCAGAGCTATGAAATCGGTCTGAGCCAACCGAGTGAGTAAATCACAACACTTATCTTATCCCTATGTTTTAACAGCAATAACATTTACATTCTATGTCTAATCTAAATTCTTACTGTCAGCCTATTGCAGGAGAAGAGCACTCTTACCTTTAGGCGACTACGGGAACCCCAACAGAGATGAGCAACACTGGACTTTGGTCGGAATGCACAAAATACAGACCGGTTTTATTTGGTTTTCACAAAAAGTAAAATATCGAATTACAAAAATTGAATATCGGAAAAGTTCTTACAAAATGTCAAAATCTCTAGAACATGCACCTCACCGGAGTCATCAACTCGGTCTTCACGTAAGCCTCGCTCTCCTCTCCTCTCCATCCTTCATGTCCATATATGGTAGACAACAGGTCCTTCTCGGATCATTTAACGAAACAGTACAAGTATTCATTAACTTTTGACAGGCCTAATTTAAAGTTTAGACAACTTCCCCATTAACCCCTCTTTTCTGAGGAAGGGGTGTAATGGGAACATGTGATACATGCTTCTGACCGCCTGCCTCCCTTCTTTATGACCTCGACAACAAGTACTCATCGTATCTTCCCATGGTCTATGCCTTAAGGATACAATGCACATTTTATGTGCCTGATGTTACCCTGATAGTTTATCCTATACTTCACTAATTTTACGGCCTGCCCGGTGTGGCGAAGGATGCTTCAATACATAGGCCCCATTGAACAGGGTGTCTCTCTGACTAATTTAATTTTGCTTACACATACATTCAGCATTATAATTCTCACATTATATTTTGATAAAGGATATAAAGTCACACATTAAATCAAAATCATCCTTGAACCATCACAACACAGTATGGGAATACATGGACCGATGCAAGTGTCAGCCAGATGCTCAAACTCTATGATACCGTCATTACGTTCTTTCTTTGTCTTGTCTCTCGCCCCCCCAGGCTGAGAAGTGTCATTTAGAGTATCAGAGTTCATCTGCAGTTTTCACCAGCACTACAGCCTTCTCCTCGATACAAGTATTTGTTTAATCATAGTTACATTAAATCAACTGATGTATTCATTATTTTAACACCAAGATAATTACTAGGGTGTAGCGTGTCTCGGACATTATTGGTGGATACCTCAACAATGCTTTCTATTGATCCTCTGTAAAAGCTAACACGAATTGGAGCACAGGAGCTTTGCCGTCTTCAGTTTCCTTAAGAAATACAGCCATTTATGAGCTTTCTTCTTGTGTGATGACCATGTCATGTTGTTTGTGATGCCGATTCTCAGGAAGTTAAAACTATTCACTTGCTCCGCGTCAGCTCCATTCATGTAGAGAGGTGTGTGTTCTCATGTTCCTCTCACCAAAGTCTAAAATCATTAACATGTCCTATTCATCGTTTGTCTAGAATGGTATCTATACAAACTATGCGATAATATATGTAATGTATGGTGAACCTGCTTGGTATAGAAATGGATCAATTAAAATTAAACAATTTTCCAAACCATGCAGTGTTGTTTTCCAAGATCCTGATTGGTCCCACTCTGATGTTGCAGTCTTCTCAATAACTGAATGTACTGTGCAGCCTGCCATGGAGGGTCGTTTTAAATGTTGTACGTGACGGTCCCATCCAACGTTTCCTTCTTCTGAGAACTGCTTTTTTCTTCACAATATAGTCAACAAAAATTGGTGCAATTAAACATCTCTCAGCAATTTACTTACAATCATTGCATTTAATATTATGCTATTCAAATATTTACATCATTTTCTGCATGTGTATAAAAAAAAGAAAAGAAAATAGCTTAACTAAGAGTACAGCACAGCACATTTTATAGATCATGTGTTGGCCAAAACCCTCTGAAGATCGAAATATCATGATGCCATTTCATGATAATTCTGACAAAAAGAATTCTGTTGACAAATATAACCTCAGCAAAAATTCTAATGTATCAAATCATGGCTTTAAAAACAAATTCAAGAAAACTAAATGTTCAGAGATCAATAAACACTTTCTTCACACAGTGGTTCTCGTTGGAGTGACATTGTGTTTCGGGTGTAAGAACAATAGGCGGGCAATGGACAGAGTTCCAGGTATGTCAATAAACCTGAGGCCTGTTCATTTCCTTGTCCGTGTTATGTATTGCCTTGTTTGTTGCTGTCGGACAGGATGCTTGCAGATGTTCAATATTCATTTTATCAATGGGTGTTTCGTGTTGTTTTTTTGGTGAACTCTGTGAAGGCCCAGCTGTTTATTTTATGAAGATATTTTACTATTCCCCAGAGAGAAGACACAATTTTTTCTTGCTATATCAGTCAGATTTCTAACCTATGCAATTGTCTTCATCCAGGCTGTTTGGTCTGTTTGGTTTTAATGACTTGCAAACAGCGGGGCCTTGACAGTGGTTTCCATTTTTCCGAGTGGTACAGTGCTGGGTCTATACCCGGGAAGTAAGAATAGGGATGACTCATGTGCTGTGTTTCAGCCAGTACTGCTGGAAAGATACTTACAGGTGGGACCTGGGGGGAGGGGAAGAAGGGAGGCATGGGAGGCCAGAAAAGCCTGGGTCCAAGGTGAGGCAAGTTAGGAGGAGGTGGGTATGGCAGTGATGAACAGTTTACTGGAGGGTACATCGGCATTACAGGTGTAGGAGATGGCTTTAAGAAAGTGTATACTGAATTTTGAGGAAATGCTTGACATGCAGCCGTGCTTTCCTTGGAGTAAGTTTCACATTCGTCACTCTCCTGTAAAGTGATACTGGTGCTATTCTGGCCATATTCAACACCCTCGTGCACCTGTACTTGGTGTACCTCGGTTACATCACTCTGAGTGCTATAGGAGTCTTTTTTCTTGTAATATTCCTGATTTAACGGGCTGGAACTAGATCTGCTGGATGATGATGATGATGATCTACTGTGCGGTCGTGGTGAAAACGCTTGCCTGGTATCTCTTTCCCTGCTTCCTCTACGATGGCGGTCACTTTCCTTCTTTCCATATAACCGCTCTTGGATCCGATTGGACATTTGGCCCAGTTCCTCGGATCCTAAATTCATGCCAATGGCCTGCAAAACATCCTGCATTTGCCTGTGCTTGTGCTCATCTTCAGGTGTCAGTGTTGTCTTTTCTTCTTCTGAGGGAGATCTGGATCTACTGTTGGAGTAGCTTTGCTCTCCGTCTCTCTTTTGCAGAGACTTCTCATCAGACAGAGACCGCCCCTTTGGGCTGAAGGACCTGTGACGAAGCTGTGAAGAAGCCCGTCTCTGAAATCCGTCACTCTCACTCCAGTGGCTGGTATTTTGGTGGCTTCCCTGTTGCCCTCCGGCATAACCGGGAGACCAGGGATGATCAGTATTCACGAAAGAAGATGTAGAACTCGGTGGATCGCCCACTTCTGTGGAGGTCTGAGTCACTATCTTGGTGAGCGTTTCGACGTTCACACCCTTGTTGAGCACATTGAGGAAGCGCTGGAAACCCATGAGGGACTTCTGCTCAGGAACAGCAGGACTTTGGTTGGTGACGTCACTCTCAAAAAACTGATGGGAAACACACAGAAGCAACCGCAGTTTATGGAAACACACTCTGCATTATTTATTTGACAAATAAATGTGTAGAATATGGAACTACCACCTATGAGAAACTAAAAACACACACAAATCACTTTGACTATGTAATGATTTGACAGCTCAGGAACTGTCTCCAGTAGCTGGAGGACACAGTGATCCGGTTAGTAAAGACATTTACGGTGACGTCCTTCTCTTTGACACTACCATTAATATTTGGGGTAGATTATGACCACACATCACGGTCTAACAATGACATATCCATCCTATCTTGTGTGGAGATGCTACAAAAATCAAATACTGCAATTGTTTTTCAATCCTTCACTTAACTACGAAATCAGTTCCTACAGTGGAGGCATCAATAGTGGAACACAAAAACATTCAACTTAAAGGCAGTGGCGGAAGAAGTATTCAGAACTTCTACTTAAGTTAAAGTAGTATCACCAGATAACCAATAGAGATGTTACAAGTAAAGGTCCTGCATTCAAGATTTTACTTGAGTAAAACGTACAAAAAGTATTAGCATCAAAATATACTTAAAAGTACCAAAAGTACTCATTATTTGGAAGGGGCCATTTCAGAATAACATGTATCATATTATTATATTATTTAATAAATGTGTTCACTTTATTTTTGCAGCTGGTAAAGGTAGACTTAGTTTTATTTACTGTATTTAATGCTGGGTAGCTTATGAATTTATAAAGTGTGTGTGTGTGTGTGTGTGTTGAATGCATTATTATTATTATTTGTACCCCAAGTGAAATCCGGTGCACATGTCACTGAGGATAAAGGTAACAAACCCACCTGTCCACAAGATCCATTCAATGGAAACCTTGCTGTATTTTGAAGATGCTCCTCATGATCCGTAGAGGGGCTGTCATTCCTCTCTCTAGGTTTGACATAACTCTGTTTGACACAGAGGAACATTTTATTAAACTACATTAAAAATAAGCTTTCACCGTCCTTACAGTGACACCAATACATTGTGACTAACCTTAGAGCGATCTCGCGATCGTTTCCTCTCTTGTGAACAGTCTCGGCTCCTTTCACGACCCACTCTATCTTTGTAATATCCAGACGATTGTCTGTCATGTTGTTGCTTATAGGTGAACTCCTCATGCACATATTTGTGTCTGGAGTCTTGAGGTGTTTTCCTGTATTTGAAATCCTCTTCCTGTGGTAGCATTTGTTTAAAGTCGTTGGTCACGTGTGCACGTGAAAAACTGTCGGGTGACAGCCTGTTTGTATTATCCTCAGGCCTGTATCTGTTATCATCTCTATCATCCTCTGTAAACCTTTGCCTTTTCTTTTCAAAAGTACCCCAATCAGGGGAAGACATGAGTCTCCTCGCTGAGCTCTTTCTGCTCAAGTCTCTGTTAAATGAGTCTTTGCTGTACAGCATCCTAAGCGACTCACTGTACTCTATACTTCTGCGTGTCCTCTTTTTGCCTCTTTTTGCATTTCCACCATATTTCTGATAGGAATCCTGCGATACATCTCTGTGAGGTTCATGCCTTTCTTCCCGTCTGTGATCATAGTCATCCCACAGCCTTGAACTTCTGTCGCTGTATTGCCGCCCGTGACTGTGCTCAGACCTGTTTGACTGCATAATCTCACAGCAACTCCAGCAGCGGAGTGGATGTCAATGCCTGCAGCGAAAAAAAGACAATAAAATGAAAAATAGCTTTGAAATCATGAATTAAAGAGTTCAGAAAGATTAATATGCCAAACCTAGATAATGCATATTGAATAATCACATAGAGGACCAACAGTATACGACTGAATCATACTTAATGTAGCCTTAAGTGACACCATAGCACGGATGTGCACACCCTAACTTGCTCTCGCCCATGCTTAGTCCAAAAACTCCGTCACACTTGCTCATGAAGGAATCCCTAAAAGTCATACAACATATTTAAGCACATATAACTATTATGCGATTCATAGAGGGGACCAAAAGTAAAATGTATCTTCAAATGTGGCAAGATATTGAGTGGGGATGCAACATTGATCGTTAACATCGTCAGCAGGTGTCACAAGTCATGAACTAACGCTAGTTAAAATGGGTAGATTTTCACTCCAGATTACAGAAACAACGATTGACTTCAACTACATGCGCATAATTCAGTACAATTATCCGCCGTCCAGTGTTGAAACATAAGATTTTAATGGGGAAGTTAGCCTCAGTAGCTTCAGATCTAACGTTAACATGAGCTTGGCTGGCTAGCTCTACTGGTTGTTAGCTAACTAGTAAATTAGGTAGGCTGCTACATAGTAGCAGAGTGTATCTTGCTTGCGTCAGTTAGCTTTTGCTAGTATAAAAATAGGAAAAATCGAAATTTATTATCATCAAAAGGGGAATTATTTCCATCTAGAATCAACACATTTACCCTCTCGTCCTGGTGTAACTGTTACATGGAAGCTAAGGTGCAGGGAGCAGCTTTTGGTTAGCAATCATCAAAACAGCGTTGGCTAACGTTAGCATCCTGGCGTTAAATTACCTTTTCTGTTGGACGACTCCACTTTCTTTAAGGGGATGGACAGATGAAAATGCTGAAACTAGGCTCGGCAATATGACAAAGGCTTGACAACAACAAATAGTTTAGCACTTGGCTAACATTTGTCGCCAAGTTGGTGTACCTCGCTCACCACCAAGCCGTTATGTTACCCTCCTAGACAGTCGCAGAGATTTAAACTGCCGCCACCTCCTGGAAGGAGTGTGAACAACCGAACATAATGCTTCGTCTTCTTCTTCCTTGGGTTCATCCATTGGCGACTGGTAAACTAGCTTATAGGCGCATTAGCGACACCTATTGGACTGGAGTGTCAAACAGCAGATAGGCTGAAAACAACCTAATGCTACAGGGGAAATCCACCCAAAAATCCCCCTGCAAGTTAAATAAAGAAAAGCAAATTAGCCACTATGGCTGTTGTCATATAGCTCCAGGGTTTTTCACCGTTTATGGTTCAAGGAAGGTGTTACATTTTACAATTTAAACAGAGCTGCACATTATTAGTGAAGTAATGCGTAACTGTCTATCGGCCTGTTTGTATTTATAGAAGACACTTTGACATGTCACATTAGGAAAAGCACAAGCGTAAATCATAAAATCAATAATGGCCAAATGCCTTTTAGCAGTTTTAGGTTCGGGTCCATAAAGGAACAATGTATAGCACTTAGGGGGACTATTATACTGTCATGGCTTGAATGGGACACTTGAATACAATACATGAAGCAGCTGGACAAATAAAAAATAAAAACCCACTTTACATCACTTTGCAATTAATGTCAGGGAGGTAGTAGTGACATAAATCCCCCAAATAATGCATAATCCACTTCTCTTTCAAGCAAGGCAGAGTAATGATAAAAATAAATAGGATGGAGACAGAAGTTGAATTCTTAATATTAATGCTGTGTATTGCTTGCAAAAGCGCTGTTTGAGTCTGGACAGAGGGCTGAGACAGAGAAAATGTAAAGGAGACGTACTCCAGCATTACCAATACCAACAGCCGTACAAATACAGTGGCCAGGAAGCTCACAACAGACACAGAACAGACTATCCACATTCTTTATTAGATATTTCCCTACAGGTAGCCATCAAATGACAACCCATTCATTTGCAACAACAAAAAAAATGTTAAACAAATGCCACGCTGCATTTGTGCAACTTCACACAGCTCTACATAGGCGCTTGTGTAGTCTACATCATTATACTCACTAATAAAGGTGCACTCTTTGCTCCATGGTTGATACAGATGATACATTTGCTCCAATCAGAGCAGTTTCGACATTTAGTCTGTGTTAATCATGGACGCGTGTTGTGTGAGTGAGGCAGAGCCCAATCAGATGAGGAACACAGGGTTTTCAACAGACCGGGGGCCTTCTCCTGGAACTCTGCTAGCGTTAGGGATGTCCACCTGAGGGTGCTGTAAAACACAACAGTTGAACACAGCACACAGGTTAAGCACTTAATGAGCTTTGCTGGGAACACAGTCACATTTCCAAACAGGGCTACTTCTATTTCTGCACGCAAAAATGGCAAAGGTGTTAAAGCAGCAGAAATTATCTTAAAAATCATCATCTAATTGTGTTTGATTCAGATATTATCTAGTGTGTTCTTAAGTTATGCAAGGACCCTACATAAGTTAACACAACACATGGAAATGACTGACTTTAGCTCAACTCTTCCTACTTTTATACAATTTTTTACTGGTTTATGTCCAGACCCAATGTATTCTTTAATCCATATTGCTACTGAAAGTCTATTCTATCATAGTCATGGATATTTATCACTATATTACAGTAATCGTCTCTTCAGGGTTTGAGTTTCTCCGCTCCCAAGTTGCAGTCTAAAGTTTTCCCTTCACAACAGGAACACATTCATGCACATCACATACAGCTCCTGAAGCCTCCCACCTCCTCATTGGTAGAACTTTATTTCTGTGTCCACGGAATCAAAAAACAAGTCCCCCAGTTCTTCTCCTGATATCTCTCCACTCAGTATGGCTGAAATCTCACTCAGACACTGCGACTCCAGTTCCCTCAGAATCTCAAAGACAGCTGAACCCTCGTCCTGACACACAGAGAGGAAAAGACAGAGAGATGTCAAAATAACCGTAAGAACTGGGTCAAATAGTATTTGCATAGTGTATGTTTTAACATGCTTAAGCAATGGAGTCATTGATCTGAATCCTAAAATATGGACAAGTCCTTGTATTTAATATCACGTACATTTACGAGAATCCAGATCTCACTCTTAGCCTTTTGAAAGTCCTGAGTGAAATTCAACCAGGCGTCTGTGGTGGGAGATGCAGACTAAATGACAGTAGTTGAGCACCAGCTATCACACACCTCCATTTACTCGACAGGCTAATCTGGGTGTCTACATACTCTTGTTGCTCACCCACACAGCAGGCAACAGTCGTGTTTCAATTCCACCCTCCATACTGATGATGTACAAAATGTATAGACTAATTGCCTGAGTATACTGTTCCGCAGTAAGTTTGCAAAAACAAAATCTATCCACTTAACTACTTTGTACAAAATATAAAATGATGAAATCCATGCACCAAAATACATCAAGCAAACGTTGAAATGCCACAGCCAATCAAACTTCACTAACTTTACAAAATTACAGACGCCCTGAGAGGCAAGTGAGAAAAATAAGTCTGATCTAAATAGACTTATCTCCTGTCTATGACTCAAGAACAGGTAAAAAAAAGGTTACTTTTCTTTCATCTGGGTAAGCAGATGAAAATAAATACATTTGACAGGTGAAAAAAGTGTTGGTTGTTGTAATACTCACACTAATATTACGTGTTTGCAAGTTATGTAACATTACTGTCATATCTTTCTATTCGCTACAAATGTATTTGCTCTTAGGGAAAACATGAATGTGTTTAGTCCTATTTATAATGTGGAGTAGAGGTGCACTTCGGCCTCTTGTCGTTGAAATTAGTATTAAAACAACAAACACTTTACAGAAAATTATCCTGACAAACAAAGAAAAATCTAACCGGCAGTTTTTTTCCCCATCTATTCACACATTCATTTTTTTAAGGAACAGAAAAATTATCTTGGCAAACACTTTTCTTCACCTTCTCTCCTAAACACTGGAGAGAAACATATTTTTATTATTTTTTTGGATTGATTTTTCAGACTACTGTTTGCAAGGTTAATAATGAACTTTTATACTAACTTTTAAGCCAATATGTACTTAAAGGAACAGTGTGTAGCACTTAGAGGGATCTATTTGCAGAAATGGTATGTTTTCTTTAGTGTATAATCATCTGAAAATAAGAATTGTTGATTGAGCCGTTTTATCTACATACGAAGCCGCCCGTCATTTTTCTACAGTTGCCCAGTAGAAACAAACCAAACACTGACTCACGTCGCCCACTGTAGATCTCCTACACACTTGGCACATGGGAGAAGTTTCAGTTGGTGGCAATCTGCAACCTCACTGTTGGATACCACCAAATCCTAAACACTGCACCTGTAATTTTTACATTTTTCAGTGTGAATGCCCAACATACTCAAAAAAACATTGCTTTAAGCAAGTATGTAGCATCGCTGGTTAAAACATATGATAGTCAGCTGAATGGCTTCAATGGAAATTGTCACTTTGTTTTGAAGTACGAATACCTCCCGTGAGGTCGTGAGGTAGTCGTGATTGAAACCCTGCTCTTTGGTTTTGAATGTGTACTTGTAGTGTGTTCATGTTTAGTCTACACTCTGTGTCTTGTGTGCACTAACTGTGAGGTCCTGTTGTGTTTTGCTCTGCTCTGGGAGTGTCAGTGTGTCAGTGTGCGACTCGCCTGTAATTTATCACCAACAACTGACCAACTTCCACTCTTAATATAATTGATTCTGCTTTGGATGTATTTTTGAAATGAAAATGAGCTTCCAACTTTGCCAGGATCTGCACATCACAATCATTGACCTAGGTCATCCATCAGTGCCCACCGGGTTAGTCTCCATGGTGCTGAGCGCCACCTGGTGGGCCTTGTACAGGTCATGTCTTCGGTCCACCTGGCTCTGAAAGCGAGGCTGCTTCCTGACAGGGTCATCTGGGCCAAACTGTGGGGAGACCACCCTCAGCACAGGGGTAGAAAAGTCCGAGAAGATAAAAGGCTTGAATACAGACCTACCAAGGTAAGAGTAGGGACAGGGAAGTGAAAAAGACAGATACAGAAACTCTGTTCGACCCAAAGTGGAGACAGAATGCAGGAAAAGCTACAGATGGGGAGGGAAAGAATATAAGCATTGAAACACCTTCTCAATGTCTGTGTTTAAAATTGAAATGACATTTCAATGACAGGAAATTTAAACTTAATTTAAAGCTTCAACTGATCAATCAGCATATAAGCCACTTTTAGTTTTTTTTTCTTAGCCTTTCACTGTCTTTTCTATGTACCTATTGCTGCTTATGCTAACAGCTTTGTTTCTGATGCCATAAAGTTAAAACATATTACTTCCATTTTTCCCCAGACAGAACCCACCACACACCAGGAATACACCCACAATTTAGAATATATAACAATGTGGCAGGTGGCCCCAAGTGAAAAAAAGGGACTTTTTTTCTAAATAGTGGTTTGCAGATATAGTGCTACCTGCAGGAAGAACGCAGTTTGCGCATGGTTCAGGCAGGTGGAGTGATGTGGGTGTCATGTTGGCGTGGAGGGAAGACAAGAGTGCAGGAACAAATTGGTAGGTTTAAGGCTGTTTTCTTTGTGCAGTGTTTAATCCTGTTGAATGTTTGGTGTTAATTGTATTCATGTATTTCAGACCCGCCTTCCCTGCTGGGTTGAAGGCGATTGGTAGGAAAGTAGACCGACGTTTCAGGTTTTCTTAAGTTCAGTCATGTAATATTTAACATCTAATCTGTATGTCATGTATTATTATGAAGCGTTTTTTAAGATTGTTAATATTTGTTTCTCTGCAGAGCATCAGTGGTCCATTAGCTGCTCTTGCTGTGAGACTTTATTTGTTGTTTGCTTGTTGTTTTTTGGGAGGGTTCTTTTGAATGAGCCAATAGTGGGCAAAAAGATATGGATTTTGCCATTGGGGCAAAATAGTTTTCTTTTTGTTTGTTTTGTTTAACTAACTTTACTCAGGTCAAATCCCAGTCAGGCAGTCAGGGTGTGTTTCAGGTTTGACGTGATTGTTAATTGTTTCCAGTGAAAATAATCATGCCTGTAAACTTTGGAATGTGTTAACTCACTAAGTAGACGTTTTGATTACAATGTGCACTGGCGTGCTATTTGAAGCCAGTCCTTGCCCTGCTAGTGAAAGCTGGAAAGTCAACTGCGAGAAGGTTAAGGTGAGCGAATATAAACCTCCGTAATAAAAACATTCTACTTTTGTCATTCCTTATAATGACATGCAGTGGGTGTAACAATAGAAATGTCAACATTTAGAACATGTTTGTTTACTTTTGTTGGGAGTGCCTGATGTGAAACAGCAGTGTCTAAACAGCCACTGAGGCACCGTGAAACACATTTTGTAACATTTAAAAGATATACATAACATTGGAACAAAGCTTTGAAAAAGATATTGTAGTTAGGTCAATCAGTTGCGTTGAGTTTATCATTATTTTTGGCCAGATGTAAACATAAAATAATACGTTATTCATATATTTTACCCTTTTGTTTCCCTGATTTTTGAGAATTTCTAAAGAACAGCACGCAGAACAGCGCACACGCAAATACAATATGAATCAGTGCTAAAACCTTTCAACAAGAGCTCAATTTGCTTCAGTTTGTGATAAAGAGGTTTTCCTATATTATAAAAGTGTTGCATAAGACACAAGTTATTTAGAACAGCACATTTAAAAGCTTTCATGTGAAGGGATTACTACAGTATTGTGTTTCCAGTAGGTGGCTATAAAGTGTGACAGAATAGACTAATTATAATTTCATTCCTGAATATGTTGTGATATACATGGTTTATTATAGTCTTAACAGATGTTTCTAATCTAGTTAGACATACCGGGAGGGGTCTGGGGTGGCAGTGAAGAAGTGGATGCAGGGCATGCTGGTGTCTCTGGGCAGGACAGATACCATGCTGCCTGTGGTGCAGAAACCTCCAGAATCCATGCAGATACCACTGGGCTTGTCCCTCAGAATGGACATCATCACTTCTGCCGTCACTGAGCCTGAGACCAGAGACAATGCAGGAGAGACACAGAAACTGTAACTAATCACTGCTGTCTATACCTATCACTGAATGCTGCATGGACAGTAATGTTGAAAGGGGGGTGTCCACAAGCATTCTGGGAAATGTAGGACTTGACCACCCTCACCGTCATGTTGCTGGAGTAGCTCTGTGCCTCCCTTATAGCGCTGTTTTGCCAGCTCCATCCTGGCAGGCGGATTCTCGGGGCTGAACACCCGAGCAAAGTTGAACTCCCCCTCACCGTCCCACCAGCCTTGAGCCTGGGCCACGCCCCGCAGCTCTGGGTGCTCTGCGGTGACCTCAGTCCCGATGGTCAGCTGGTTGGAGATGTTCTTCACACCCTCTGAGAAGAGAGAGTGGCTGTTAGCATGTAAAGATGCAAGTCTCCTACTTATGAGTGCAATGTGTTTGAAATTGCTGAGTGACCATCCGAGCACCCCATGCATAATTTTTGTCTGGTTTAGTCTTTGTCCTGAAAATGCTTTCAGCCATGCTAGTGGTGCGGCTGTAGGAATGACAGAGGCGGTCTGCTGGTTGTTCCACAACTGAGGTCTGGACTGAAAAATCTCAACTACTGGATGCATTGCCATGACTGATTTTGGTGATTTGTGACTCCAGAAAATCTTTAATTTGTCTTTGGTTTATTGCCACAGCCTGATCAGTAATTTCGTAATGGAAATGGGCACTGTAGTTTTTGCAAATGTTACTCAAACAAGACTAAATAGTGCATTTACTTTAACTATTTTCAACCCTGGATAATACATATTTGAGGCTCCAGTGACTCTGGACTTGTTTCGATGGGTTACAAATGTCACCCCATTTTGCTAATGCAAAACAAGCCTTTGAAGTATAATTATAAGTATAAGGGTATAATTAATAACATTTGCCGTTTTTTAACTTGGCATTAACGGAAACATGCATACAAAAATAAACTGATAAATATTAAAACCATATTCAAGCTGCGATACATGCCTTTAGGCATCGGTGAGTTTGCACATGCAAAGTATTGCAACAACTACTTCCTAGGCAGTGCACGCACACAGACAGAAATTACTTTTTTTCTTCATTCATTGATCTGTCTCAGTCAGTGTTTCAGCTGTTGGTTGTACAGTATACTGTGTACTCTGTATTCTGAGTGCTTTGTAGCTGCATATTGTAATTCACATTTATATATTGTAACTTGTTTCTTGTTGCTTTTGTCTACTGCACAAGTGGTACCTATTGCGTTTTATGTCCGTTGCTATTCCTGAGGTTTCACTCAGTGAATAGCTAAAAGATGTCACGTGCTGTAAAATCTTGCATGCTACAGCATCCAATCAAGTTGCAGGAGAGAACCATGAAGAACTAACATTATGTTACTGAGTGGCAGTTGGTAAAAAATAATTCCAAAACGTGTGGGTCGAAAATTACAGATGGAGACGCAAATGGCATTACATTTGGTTGTAGAGCACATTATGACTTCTTTAGGACTCAAAACTTAAAGTTTAGGACTTAACTTGGGATTTTGGGGGAAAGACTTGAAACGTACTTGTGACTTGCAAAAGAATAACCCCACGTCTGCTATACATGTACCCTTCACACTGCACCCTAGATTTTTAACCCTCCATGCTTACTTGTGACCTTCTGTGCCACCCACAGCCTCCCAGCAGTTTCCAGGACCCAGGCCTCATTGCGGTCCACCAGGAGGAAGGTGTTGTGGTAGCTGAAGGGCACATGGTCCTCCTTGCACTGCCCCCCCTGGCCATGCTGCTCCAGGAGGCTGGTGATCACTGTCAGCGCCGACCAGGCACTGTCACCACGCTCCAACCCCAGTCTGATGATCACAAGTCATGCAGGATTACTTCAAAGAATAAAGTCTGTCTCTACAGGGCATTAGTTATGTAGTTATAAATGTTATTCTTTCATTTTCAAGCATGTATCTACTTTGATCTATGTATTTATTGTGTCTTTTTAACTAACAGTGTAGACCAGTTAAGCTTGAAGGCAATGCTTACACGCTCTTCTGCCATGTATTTTAGAGGCAATGATACTGCTATTTTTATATACAGAGATGAATAGATAAGCGATACTGTGCTATACAGTATTTACTATACCTGTCATAACATGCTCACGACAATCTACACACCCTTCCGATCAAAGCCTAAAAGGATTAAGTTAATACTTATACTGAAAATCCAAAATCCAAACTGTATTTAATTAGGATGCGGTCAATAGTTGCTTCCAGCCAGCTCTGAAGATTTTTGTATTTATTTTTTTATTGCTGAGATTGGGTAAGCTTTTTTTTTATCCAAAATGATTTGTTTTTAAGCAATACAGTATCAAAAAGGTTTTCTGTGCTCACCTGACAAAGTCCATGCCCAGCAGAGCCTCTCCGGGGACGACGGGCTCTCGGGTCCAGATAGCCTCATTCCCAATGCAGACTCCCTGGTCATTGGCTCCCATTTCAGCGCCCCACATCCAGGCAGGTTTGCTGAGGACGACGGCGCGGGTCTGCTCCACTTGAGGGATCTGGATGTATGTGCACTGCAGACAAAAAAAAATGGAGACTGAGAAAAAAAGAATGCTGTTGTTTAAATGAAGGTCCCTTTCTGCACAAACAATTTCAGTGAAATATGTACCTTATATGCAAAGCGGACACAGATGTATTGGACAAACACTTTCACATCAGTGAAACTCAAAGGTCAAAATGACTTTCTATTGCTGTACATAAATGAATCTTATCAGCTCCTGCTTCACACATCTCTATGCAGCAATACCATCAGGTATATGGCCTTTCTACGATATATTAAGGCATCCATTAGTCTCATTCAGAATGAAAAGACAGGGAGACAAAGGTTCCTGGTATTATGAAGTTTGAAGTCAGATTGCATTTTAAGAACAGATATTGGTGAATTTGTGCATGAATTTACATCACAACTGGTTTGCAAATTTAAACCATTCCCGTGATTAGAATATTTTTTTATTGACTAGAGCAAAAACGATGTTATTTGTCTTTTGTCTTTTTTATTTTCTATTTTAATTTAATTTAGTTTATAGAACATAATAACCTTTACCTCCACTGTATTTAGGCTGAGGCAGAAATCTCAGAGACAGATATGTCAAAACCTGGACAATTAAAACCCAAACTGCAGGACTAGATACCATTATATCAACTCTGAAATTATTAGTACCAGTGCATTCAAAGATGAAAGTGTTGGGATTTTCCCCTTTTTTTTTACTCAACAGAAAAGCCAAAAGAGCTGTTGGACAAAAACTAGAAGTCAATTAACACATCTGGACAGAACATGTTCCTATATATCATTGCACCAACATCGGTACCATGTCTGATCTGACAGTGTATCAGTCAGTATTTCTTACACCAACAGTGCAACACCAGGGAGAGGTGGAAAGGAGAAAGCATTTAATCAGTGGGTTAAAACTTTTAGTTCCTTTCCCGTAAACATGAACAGGAATGAATGTTTCTCCATCAAGTCTCTTGTATAATATTGTACCATGTTCAGACAGGGTTATTGGGAATAGCAATGTAATATGAGCAAATATATGCTTTGAATCTTTATTAATTAATTGTCTGCAATACACCAGACTGTGGACGTATGCAGTATATCTGCAAACGTGTGTATTTCTTTCAATGATTCATGAGGCCTGTTGTCAGTCTGTTGTACCAGCATCAGATGTGATGTGGGACTGCAGGAGTCCAGGACTGCTTTACCTCCAGCATGGAGCCTGGAGGGTGAGATTCTGCAGGGTAGTGGGCCACCTCTTGCACCTCATCCCGGGGACGGTCTGCATTCTTCCCAAAAATAACATGGTCATCGCGAGAGCCAGGAGGCAAAGAAACAAAACAATCACATGACATGGGAACCTCTGCCATCCTGCAATAAAGAAACAACACAAAAATACCCCCGTTAGACGTCCGGGTGGCTCTTGGGGGAGAGTTTAAAGTGGTGACATATAAAATACGCACCGATTCAGCCAAGTAACTGTTGACACAATCGGACTTCGAACTAATCATACGAGTCTGACAGCGCGTTTGACATTCAACCCAAGTGAGACTACACCCTGTTGACCATAATGTGCATGTGTGGAGTCGAGAGGAAAAGTCTCCCTCCATTCCCCACCCAGCTTTTAGCAGAAAGTCAGATTCCGCCGGTGCACTGCCCATCCCTTTCACACAGGGATTAGTCGCAGCCTTGTGCACAGCACTTTATTGACTGTAATCTTCACAAATCCGACCGCCACGTTGGTCTATTGTAGCTCTCGTCGCGCATTTGCGACAATGAATCGCATACAATCCGGAAATAATGTCGCCAAAAAGTGCGCCGATCGTGGATGAAGCTAATTTGGGAGGAGGAGTTAAAAACTCGGTTTGTGATCAGTGTTTAATACAGATAAGGCCTGAATGAGCAAAATGCCCACACATACCGCCATTCCCCGTCTTTCTCCGGAGCAGCGACGCGCCTGTAGCTTCGTGTCATTCCGCCTTTTTTTATGGGGGTTTAGTACAACCGTGGAGTTCTGGGCTATGAGTCTGTGAACTAGCTCTAGTCTGCGAATGCTGCTATAGAATTTGTTTACCTTTTTTATTCAATGGTGAGAGCGGGCGGCCGGCTGTGAGAAGGCAGGTTGTAGATACAGAGTCACGTGACCGAGCTATCCAACGGTATGTACTTAAAGGTCTCGTCTCGTCTGGCCACAAGCACAGCTCACCGTCTCACACAGGAGTCCAGTCCACACCTGTGAACGGCTCCCTGACTCGTGATGTAGTTTGTCAGGGCTGCAAACCCCCAGCCAATACTATCCACTCCAGCTCATGGGGAGCCCTCCATGACGCAAGTTTTTATAACCCAGTGTTATTACCAAGAAGTTTTCACATTCATTTTTATATGCAAATGAAATAGTAAGAAGATAAATATTGCAAAATATTGTTTCATATAATCATAGCATTAGTTCATGTATGTGTGACTCAAGAGGATGAGCTGAACCTAGCATTCACATTTTCACAAGAAACACTACCAGAGCTGAAAATGTGTACGGCTCTCTCTAGAGTCAGTGTTTGGTTTGTCTGTTCTGGGCTACTGTAGAAACATGGTTTCAGGCGATTATACACCAATGAAAACATAGTTATGAATATTATGTTCCATTTCTGCTGATAAATCTCCCTAAATCCTACACACGGTTGCATTAGTAGATCATAATCCTTTATTCCGATTGAATAAAAAGCTAACTAAAAAGACAAAGCATGTGGTCTATAAAGATAGGACTTTTCATAACCTGGCAACCAAAATGTTGTTCATATTAATAGCTTTTAAGTGGTCAACAAAGTATTAGTAAAACATGTTTGCTATTGTTCATAAAATAGAAATACTCAAGTAAAGTACCTCAAAATTTGTTGCAGGCAGGTGGACCAAAAGAAGAGAGCAATGGAAATGGAAATAAAGGTCCTCACACTGTTGCTGCCTTAAGTGCAATTGATTATCCAAAAGTGACGTTTCAAGCTTATGCTTTTCTTCAGACTTAGAGAAATTCGGCATATCAGCCAAAGAGCGTCATAACAACAGCCTTGACAACGACATATTGAGTAATCAAATCAGTGTTGAATTCAGAAGTGTGGTGCATTACTTATAAATGAGTGGGACAGAACAAGATAAACATTTATGTAAGCTCTGAAAACAATAAGTATATTATTACTATTTTAATTTGTGACAATCCTGGACAAACCGTGACGTCTGGTCACCATAAACTAGATAGTACAGTAAATATAGTGGAGTATTTAGCTACTAAAGCACTACCATTTCCCTCAGGAGTTGGTGGAGACCAAAACAGAGCTAAAAAGCAGGTGGGTAACTATTGGACAGGGGACAAAAACACAACACAAGGCTCTTGTTGCTTTTCTGGATGTGTAAATAGGCAACTGTTTGCGAACAAGTTTGTCTTATCAACTGTATTGATCTCTTACTGTAAGAGATTATATATTCATTTTGTGTTTACAGCTTGTTGAGCTGCCCCCAAGTAGCCAACAATTGCTAAATAATCTTTACATTAACTGTTCCTAACCGCTAGCTAAAGCTAGCTGCTGATGGTGTGAAAATGACATCCATAGAATAGATGTGTCACTCAGTACTGATTGGTTAGGGCAAAACTTCTTCCCAAACTGAAATAAGCCAACACAAGATGTCTGACTTATGAAGTGAAAGCAAATTCACGATTATTTGGCTAACTTTGTAATCTTGTGTACTGGTCAAATAAATAATATGTATTGTGGTCATTTGGGTCACAGTTCAAAGCGACGGCTGTTGTTCACAACAATTCCATTGATTAAACAGTAAACAGACAACATGGAGTCAAAGTAATAACTTCCCCTGTGCTAACAATTGATGAGACAATAGAGAAAGTCAACGATGTGGTGGCTGTAAGTAATAACTCTACTAACCTAAACCTGCCCGACTGCATTGCAGTGACTTACAGCATTATATGTCAACGTCCAAATCAGACTGCTGTCGTGTCAGTAGCTATTGCTCATCAATATGCATGTCAGTAGGCCCCATTCTTAAAACTGACTCATGGCGTGTCTCTTGTTGATGCAATCAGTTTTATAGCAGTAGAGTAATAACAGCTCACACGCACACCTGAGCGCATATGGAACAAGGAGCGCCATCCAATCTGTTCCCAAATGTTTGACTAATGTTTGTGTTTTGAGATCGAGCACCTGGACCTTACTGGAATTCAGTTATGGCCAGATTTGTAGGAGGTGTTGAGTTATTTTTTGAAGCAGCTTGGTGGTGAGTGGTGCTCACTCGTGGCTCACTAGGAATGCTGAAGGCAACAGGACTAAATACTTGAGAGATTTCTGTAAAGACAACCTGTTACCTGAACGGCACTCGGCTTCTTCCACACCCTCTCCGGCCTTTCATCTCCTAGAGCATGCTGACAAGCACTGCACATCCTGTCTGCCCTTGCACACAAACAGTAAAAACACCATGAGAAGTAAACACCCACCTGAGCCAAAGGCAGACACACCCAAAAGAAAAAGAGACCTCGCACACATATACAGTACACACACACACACACACGCTCAAGCACAGAAACAAGCACAGACACAGTGAAACTATAACAGACTAGTGGAGGAAAAAAAGCTTGTAAATACATTAATAAATCAAATCATGTTGTCAACAGACAGTGGTGTTGAGTGATGAACTGATGGAAATGGATATAAAACACAGATTCCTGGGCTTTGCTAGTTCTGTAAAAACATATTTTTGACTTCAGTTCGAGTGTGGAGAAGTGGCTGCACCATTAGCAAAAAACTTCTAGACAACAAATCCAGATAATGCATAAAATTAAGGCTGTCTGTGTTTGTCCTTCTTTAAGTGGCTGTTTTCAGTTGCGTGGACAAGAGATCCTGCCTTTATCCCGCTTGATGAACTCACATATCGACACACACACACACACACACACACACACACACACACACACACACACACACACTGTGCTAACCCAAAGACCTCTCCTAGAGCCACGCAGGCATTGTGGCCCAGTTTGTAAGCCCTGCCATGTGAAGTGGAGGGCCGGCTGGAGGAAGATGAGGGGTGTTATGGGAAGGAAACAGCTGGTGAGAAGCCCAGAGGATATTAATCTGAGGGGGGAGACAGGATGGCAGGAGAGGCCGTCTAATAAAGCATGGTATTACTGCTGCAAAGGTGTGTGTAAGTGTCTGTCTGTCTGTCTTCCTGGAGGATTACTGGTATGTAGTGAGTCTGTGTCCATCTGGCTACTACCAACTTTAAGCTCCGAAAAGAACATTCTGGTTTGAGTTCTCTGTTTAAAGTTGGTAGGAAATCTGTGATCCAGTTCATCCGGTAAATCCAGCAAGGCACATTTAAAGTTTTACAACCCTTCACACAAAAGGGTTTTTGAAAATTAGATAAAATAAAGCATCCAAATTTTCTCTGAGCAATTAAAGTTCCGGTTAAAAGGCAGAAGGGGAAGCTGGGCGGCATCAGTCGCACAGACAGTAATGACGGCGCCACTGCTGTTTAACAATCAAAGATCGGAGGCGGGGGCTCGCAAGGAAGTCTCTCCTTGAAAAATACAGGTGTTTGGTACAATCAAAGTGCAGCTTGCAGAAATGACTGGGTTTGAAGTTGAAAGGGGAGGCAGGAGGAGAGGGGGGGCCGTCGTGGTGAGTGAGTGAGTGCCTGTATGAGAAAAAAAGTGACTCAGTCCGAAGACAACTGTGGGCCGTTCTCTCCCCCGGGATTTTGAATAATTAACAAGGATAAGGAAGTTGACTACTAGGTGCTCACTGTTTACTTTGTTGGGATTTTTTTCTGCCTCTGGAAGGGAAGTGAGGCTTTAGCCGGCCTAGCTCTCTGGAGGCTGGCGTGTTGGCAGGAGGATTTGTCTGGGACAGCGGTGTGGTTCCCGTGGGACTAGAGACAAGTCAAACCAGCCAAAGGCCAGTGAATCAGAACCAACTTTATATGGTGGAAATCTTGTATACAAAACACCTGTCCTTTAAGGAAAGACCCAAGTTGTACACACAGAAATACAATCACACACAAACTGTGAGCTTCTGAATACAGACTGGTGTCCTGACTAATTACTGTAATTAAAAGTACAAGACACAATGATACTGTATGTTTAGGGTGTGTAGGACTTGGGGCATTTTTTTTTTTTATTCCAGCAATAAAAAGTGTTGAGTGAAATTAATAGCTTTACATTCTTGGAATGACACTTATGTGCTTTCCTGCCGAAAGATTGATACGACTCTCATGTACCTTCGTTAACTGAACGTCTCTGTCCAACGGTAATAAAAATCTACCTGCAGCACTAAAGCTCACTAATTAACACATTGAATCTTGGCTGGTCACAGTGGTCGTCGGTTTTACTCTTCATTTTTGTTGTTGTATGAATTAAACAAAGAAGATATGACATATAGGTACATTTTATTACATTTCCACTAGTTTCTAGTCCTCTCTTTGTCATACAAACATGAGAGTGGTGTTCTCATCTAACATTCAGCGGCAAAGCAAATTAGCATAATTCCCAGAATGTTGGACTATTTCTTAAATGGATGAATGTAAAAGTCCATTCCTGACCTTGTAAATAGTAGTAGACCAAAAAAATCGTACTTACTTACTAAACCTGCGGGAGCTACCACAGAAGAGCTTTTGACTAGCCTTTGCCAGGTGTTTATGGTGGACAGATTTTTCTGACCGTGATAGCGTCAAAACCGTGCAAGATGCAGCCACGAAACTACATGTTAATTTTAATCTGAACTACAGGTTTGTAGCTGAGATTAAGGATGTTCGAAAATGGGTGTGGTCCGTGCAAGGAGGCCGCAAGTAGGCGGGTAGGAAGTAGTTGCAAAATGGTCTGTGGTTAAAATATATAAAATCAGATGGGTGAAGCTTTTCACCATTTTGCTCCTAAAAAGGGCCTCACACAGAATATGACATTGGCAACTGCGCTCTGAAGCCCATTATTCTTCAATGGCTTTTCGCTGCGTTGAGCAAAGAGTGGGCACGCCGTGCAAACCGTGCCGTGTGTGAAAGACACTTAATGCCGTGTCCTGATTGTACACACATACAAATTCACACTGGAAAAGTTACAAAATGTAATGAAGGTATACCGAATTAGAATATTTTGTATCTGGTGTTGCTAAACACTGTTGTCCTGCAGTACAAATACAAAATTAAAATAGTTAGAAAAACAAAAAGAGTATGTTGGCTTGAGGAGCAAGCTCAAAAACATTTCCACGAGCATTTATGACGCTTTCAAAATTGAATTTGTTCCAAATTGTAGCTGGATCTGCAGGCACACGTCCTGTATCATTTACTCTTGGTACAAAACGGTATCCAGCATTTAAGTCTTTATACTGAGTGCCAAGCATTGACATTGACATTGATTGATTAGTACATTGTGTGTGCTTTCTATTGGTGAGTAACCAGTGTAGGTGGAAGGGTTTTATCTGAAAACAACAGCCGCCTTAACACGTAAAGGTCAAAGGTGCTGCAGTTATATAAATAGATGTTATTTCACCACATTGGCATGGCAGGGCTTTTGCTGGATTGATGACAAGAGTAAATGCCAGTACTTCAGAACAAGCCTTCTTGCAAGAGTGTTTAAAGAACCACAAACATTTTCATGTACATAGCAAACAACTCTTGTACAAAAAAATATGCAAGCAGTGACAGACATAAAAAAAACCTGTCAAACAAGCTATCTAAACACATCTAAATCATTAGGATAATTTGTAAGCCCCTACTTGAATTTGCACTGTAATTAAATGTTAGGCAGTGTCTTTCTGATTGTGCTGCATTGTATTCATGAGGAAATATGCTTGACTATTTAAAGATGTCTGTAAACAGCATTTAAACGTGGTGTGTGGTCTTCCTTTGGGAGACCTGATCTCTATTTGTACAAGTACATTGTACTGAAAGATATGAGATACCGAGACATTATACCTATTTCGTTTTTAATAAGTAAGCAACAAATTTGTCATGTTTTAAGTTTTCTGTCTGTCCTTGCAATTATATCAGAATGCTCTTTGATTTGCTAAACTCTAATCTGGTACCTAAAGTTGCTGGCCAAGAAATGTGCTCCTGGAAAGAACATTTCCTGATTAGTGTGATGACTCTTTATGATTTGAAGGTGTGTATAAATCTGCCAAGGCGCGTGCTGAATCAAGACTTTGTCAATATTTGCTGATCGCCCAGTGTTTCCATTATATGTCATGTAAATCAGTTCAAACTCAGTAATTGCTTCAGAGAAAGAGAAGCAGAGAGGGTAGGAAGTCACTTCCCGCCGGCCTGTCTGTGGTTTATGTTTGTCAGTTGATTTGAAGCTGCTCCACCAACATGCCGTGACAGGAAAGGAATTAACTCAGTGAGGAGACAAAATAAAAAAAGCCCTCAAAGGAAGATGATGTTAAAAACTATTAAATGTGTAATGCACATTCAAAGCCACTGCAGTCAATTAAACTCTGACATATTCAACATTTGGCACATTCAAGAAGCCTTTTGTAGCAGTTCAATCGTTATATTACTGTTCATACTAACAGGAGATACACATGCTGTTTCTCTGAGTGGTTCAGGACGTTTATTAAGTAGAACCAGTGCACTGTTTTCTGCAAAGTAAGATCTCAAGATTTACGTATTGCGCCTGTGTTTTGGCTCGAGCCAAACCGCCTCTCAGGAGTGTCCGCAATCAAAGGATTTCCTGGTCTCAACTATATCTGATTCACAGGCTGCAGTCGCTTTACTGACCAGGTTACTGCACCAATGCGTCACAGTTTGTAAAGGTTCATCTAGATTTGGTACACTACCGTAACTACGACAGTGTCATATAAGACATTACTATGAGGTTCCAATTCACTTGAGTTTGTATTTGTTCGTGTTTGGTATTAAATGAATTACAGTTTTGAAAGAAAAGTGCTGCAAAAATAAAGTTAAAAATAAAGAATACTTCTGAGTGTACCATTTATTTCTTAGACCAGATACCAACCTCTCGTGTTGACTTGGAAACAGTAAGAACAGAAGTTGTAATTTAACCCCCCAAAAAAGTTATATAAATGGAAAAAGCTTAAGTAAACTTTATAAAACTGGTTTTCCAAATGTGGATAATGTTAATGCTAAAACGTTGCAGTAACTATGTTTTACCTAGTTGCTAAATCTTTATATATATCGAAATGTACATAATGATAAAAAAAAAAAAAAACTGATTCAGAGCAGGGGTATTTCAACTCTCACGTCATGATCTCAGCCCTGCTTCTGTTAGGGACCCGGGCCAAACTTTACAAAACTATTGGATATTTGGCAACTCTAACAGCCCACTGTTTAAGATTTTGTTCTTTGGATATTTTTGTTGTTGAATCGTTGACAGTGGAGGAAGAATTCAGATAATTTACTTGACTAAAAGTATACCAAACTACAGGAAAGTCTTGAATTGAACATGTTTACTAAATGCACTTGAAGTTTTAAAAGTAAAAGCACTTGTTATGCAGAATGACTGAATATTCAGTTATGAATATAATATTGTCATAATTATGGAGGCAATAACATTTAAGTGGTAGACTAATGTTGCAGATTGTCATAGTGGAACTAATTTGAATGACTTCACATGCTGTTGGTTTGTTGAATCTATAACAATGGGAGGACAAAAACGTGCCACCTGTGTTTTTTCTTCTCTTCTTCAATCCCCCCCCAATTTGCATTTCGCATTCACATCTCGTTACTGACACTTTTTAACTTCAAAATATTTTTGGCTGACTTCTAATTTTTACGTAATGAGTTGATCATATGTTTAGTCTGTACAATCTTCATCTAAAAAGTAACATTAATGACAGCTGTCAAATACATGTGGTGAAGAAATAAGTAGAATTTGTCCTAAAATTGGAGTAGATGTATAAAGTAAAATGAGTTGAGTACAACAACTTGTATAGCTGTAGCACTGTAGCACTTGTGTACGCTGTTACTCTCCACCACTGATTGTTGCATGATACTTTACAGAATCACACATTTGCCTGAACTGTAGCGGAATGAAAGTTATTAATTATTTTATTTTGCTTCTTTTTTTTTAAACGTATAATAACAAGCCTAAAATTCGTACCTCATCAGATAGGCCAAACTTTACAAAACTATTGGATATTTGGCAACTCTAACCGACTGTCCCACTGAGCCTCGTGTTCCTTTTAAAGCGAGCCGTTTCCTCACCTCCAGCTTCGGGCGCATCTTCAAAGGGGAAGACGGCACAGCGGCAGAGGGCGGAGCCTGGAGGGACTCAATACGCACAGCCTATCATAAAGTTTGTCACTACTGAGAGCGCTGCTTACCTGTGCGCCAAAAAGCCGATATTGCCTCAGTTGGACCGTCTGCGATGAAGAAAATCAGATGAAATATGATGATGAGGATAATATGTTTCTGCGCACGTTTTTCGACGAAAGGAGGAAGCAGCAGAGCTGAGCTGAGATAAACTGTATCCAACCAAAGTGCATTTATTCCAAAAAGAAATTAACAGCAGTAGCTCCAAGGACAAACAGGTAAATCGGGATTTGTTTTCTTTGCCATCACTGCCATCTACATTAAAAGTTACTACTATGTCTAATATCATGACTTGATTATAAACTGACCTTCAATAACATTAAGACATTGTTATATTAGCCTAATCATTTATTAAACTGGAACTATAGATCAATATATGAGAAAATCAAAGTAATTTCATATTGAACACAGACAAAATTTAAAAAAACAATGTCACTGTAAGTTTTGAATAAACAGAACATTTAGTAGATTAGGGCTAACACCTTTTTTTTACTGGGAAACAAAAACGGAAAATACATTTCCCACAAAGAGACCACAGGAGCTGCCACTAAACCTAAACATTTTATAATTCAAGTTTTAATTATTGTCCTTGTCTGTTGTATAAAGCATTCTCCAAAACACAACAGACAATTTCCCGAAAAATGAAATGTTATCAGATAAAACAAAAATATGTGTAAGATATGTAGTCCAGGTTTTCAGGTATAAGTAGTGGATACGTGTGGATTATATTTAACTGACAGTTTTCTGCAGTCAACAAGCTGACCTGTAAGTGTGAAGGGTCAGTGTCAATGGGATGTAACCTAATGTATTGTTTACTCAAATAAATAATCATGCAGATTTTATGTCTTAAAATGTTAGTTTGAATAATGTTTCACAGGCAAATTATTAACAAATTATGGAGAATCAGACCTGTATATTTTTTTCTGTCTGTACATTAATGCAGTTGAGAAAATGTGCCGATACTCATTGTTGCTATTTATTTTAAATGATGGTCTAATGTCATTATAGCTCCTTTTGTCCCAGTGAAGTAGACTGCTTTAATGTTTTCATGTTCCCGATAGGAACAATTCTGCAGGGACCCTGTGAAACTTATTAAAACTGGAGAATAAAGAAAGAGTTCCTGGATGTACAATAAAAGAGAAATATATAGTAAATGCAACAAAGGGAGAATATTTTGAATTAAGATTATCTAGCACAAACAGGAAATTTACAAAATGTACGTGATGGGATTTGATATGAAATGAGTGTGTTACATCGATCTGGACTGTCTGGAGTTTGAATTCATTATCTTTGTATTGAAAGGGTTTTATTCAAAAATGCCATGGCTTATTCAGTGCTGACTGACCAAGTGATAGTCTTTCTTTTTTAATAAATAAAAAATATATATTTTGGGGCATTTTATGCCCTTATTTGATAATGGAGAGAGACAGGAAATGTGGGGAAAGAGAGGAGGGGACTGACATGCAGCAAATGATCCGGTCAGCTGGGAATCGAACCGGAGACTCGCTTCTCAGGGTTTTTACACACATATGGTACAGATAAATTATATAAGACATATCTTATACAAAGATATATAAGGTACGCTATATGTGCAGTTGTGGAAGAAGTATTCAAATAATTTACTTCAATAAAAGTAGCAATGCCACAAAGTAAAATCATAAAATCAATTAATCAGTAAAGTCATGCATTCAAATTGTCACCAAGTATTAGCAAAAACATTTTCCAAAAAATAAAAGTACCAATATGCAGAATGGCCCATGTAAATGTTATATTATTATATTATTGGATCATTATTATTGATGTTTGAATATATAAGTGTTACTTTAATGCTGTAAATGGTCAACAATGCAGTTTTTTTTAATAAACTCATTGTATTTAAAATGTAATCGGAAAATAGACTATATTTGTTAGAAAAAATTAAAAGTACTATATTACATGTATATAAGGACGATTGCAATTCTCTAGTGTAAAGACAGACCTTGAATAAATGTTAGTTGTAAATTTGCACCACTGTACGTATCTTGACAATCTGGATAGTAATTCAAATTTTAACTTGATGTTTCACATTTCGTACTGGAGCTCAATGTACAGCGGGTTGGTCATTTGTAAATCAAATGTGAAACAGTTTTCTGGTTGCAGTGTGTCCACTCAGAAGAGAGAAGGACGCAAAAAGCTCTGAAAGGCTGTTGACACATTAACTGCAGTATATACTGTAGTAAAATACGTATCGGTGCTTGTGTATGAATAAGTGTCTCACAGACACTCCTAAATCAGTGAGGATTTAAAGCTGTCATCTATATCTGAAAAATCTCTAGTTTGCACTTAATCATACAGTTAAAGTGCAGAGGAGCAGAGATCAGCCTTCCCTCTCCAGCTTTGTATCTCACTTAACCCTTCACTCAGCTGTGCAACTGACATTTTAATTCATAATCCAGTCAAGCATTTTATAAATTCTAATATAAATCAATTTTGTTCCTCCTCATTATTGCACCCACCAGATTTGTTACCGGTGTGGGGTCAGACTTTGGGCAATACACCGCTTCTTTGCGTTTGTTTTAGTATGTTTTTGAGTTGATCACAAGTATTTTCCCTCACATGGTCATATAGAAAAGGTCAGAAAGCTTTGGTTGTAACAGAAAAGTGTTTGAAGTTCATCATGGTACACTCGTCTGACAGCTGACCTGACCCCTGTCGAATTGGTGTGCTCCATCTACTCCATCCATTTTGTCCTCTAAGCAGGTTAAAACAAACTTCTTGTTAATGCCATTTGACCCAAACTGGTTTGTCTTGACTAGAGTGTCCACAGACAGTCAGCGTTAATGTTTTAACTGGGCTCTTCTACGTCTGGGATGAGGTAGAATGGGGGACTTGTGGTGGGTAGAACAAGAATTAAATTGGGCCTGTAAATAATTTTGAAAGTGGAACTCAAAATGTATTAATGCAAAAGTTTAAACGAGCAGGTTATCAGTTTGAAATAAGCATCTTATGTTGGAAAACCCAAATCATTAGGTTCTCATATCAGAACAGAGAGTGGAAAAAGGTTTGTCAAAAACTGCACTCATTGTAGTGTCTATGTTTTAAAAATCAAGAGTAAAGTTTTCTCCCTCTCTGTGCCTCTTCCAAATGGCAGGCTTGTAAACCGGGGTCTGAGCTGGGTCTTGGTCGGGCAGGTTTTATGACCAGAGCTCTGTCATTGCTCTGTACCATCCTCCTCCTCCCAAGCTGCCGTCCCCCTGGGGGCCCCCCTATGCCAGCTGTTTCCCTTAGGAGCCCGTAGCGCTCCTAGCACTTTGGCGAACGGAGGAGGATGCTGCTGTCTTCGCTTGTTTACGGTTATGTCAGGAAGAGCAGAGTGGGCCATTCTGTTGTGTGTCTGAGTCGCATTCCCAAAAGATTAGAGAGCAGCAACTCTGGCTCCAGGACGACATAAAAATAAATCAGCTTGACCCTTAACACCAGGCCTTTCATTAGGGAATTCCAAACTAATTGCTTTACAATTTCATTGGAACTAGAAGCATCTCTGAGTTAGTTTGAGTGAACCTTTGCGAATGATGTGTAATCCTCTTGGTTTGGCCGTATTGACTCAACAAATTGAGATCTACTGAGGGGATCCTTCAATGTCAGTCAGAGTGACACCACCTGTGTGCTGAAGCACATGCATGCTCCTCCAGCATCTAATGAATCTACATAACATACAGGATGTCTTCCACTGGAGCTTGACCTCTTTCTTGGCAACCTTGTGGAGTTTGCTATGTCAGATATGTTTCACAACAAGTGATCTCAAGACTTAGACACCAACCTCTGAAGCTTCAGCCTTCTTTACTATTTCCTGCTGTAAAGATAATTGTAGATGTTCGAGGATGGGGGTGTGGTGGAAGTCCACAAGATTGTTTGGGGCTAGGACATGTTTGGAGCCGAGCACAGGTCTTGCAGGCTGCTAGTTTCTTGGCATAGATTTCCACAGACTTGTCCAACTTTAACAAGCTTTGTGTCACCTATGGAAATCAGAGCCCCTCCTCTCACTGACTGATGTTGTTGAGGTGTCCACAAGTGTACTGTACATACCTGGAGTGTGTTGGGGACAGGATGCTGTTTTGGAGCGTGTGCCCATAATTATACACATAAAGTAATTGTTCTCATGTCATTGCTGGTCTCCCATTCTCAAGCTCCTGAATGCCGTCAGTCTGCAACTGTTGATGCTTTCTGCCGCCAGTGTGTAAGAGGCGGGCCGTTTTACGGGGCTCCTTTTGTAACTTGCCTGGAGGGCTGTTGTAAATCATGTGTGATTCATAAAAAACAGGTTCCCCAGTCTGCCAGGTTTCACAAACCTCAGAGATGTACAAATAGATTTTGGCCTGCAGCCATACCGCCCTGGAACTTCTTCTTTTACCAAACTGCTCTCCTGTCAACACTCCTCTTCACTCTCGTCCCTCCCCCCATCTCACCAGTATTTACCCCCCCCTGCACAGGGCCAACAATGTTGTTTTCTTTGCGCTTGACTTTGACTGTCCTCCATGGGAAGTACCTGGCAGCAGATGCATGTGGCAGGCTTCTGCCTGGACACGTCTGTCTCCCCCTCTCCTCTGTCTCCTCGGCCACGCAGCGTGAGAACTGCAGTATCCATGGCGATGAAGGAGGTGTGCTCGGGGTTTAAATGTAGTAGACGGGAGGATTTAGGCCTGAATGTCTCACTTCTGAAGTTCAGAAACGTTAGATCAGCAAAAGCTGAGTAATTTCAAAGCCTTTCAGACTGGGAAAAAAAATGACCTCAAGGCTTCAAAGTCCTTGCATGTGGTTCAGTGAAGTCACTGAGAGACACTGAGTGAGAAAGAGTGAGAAAGTTGATACCAGATTTGGAGAGATAACAGTTTGTCTGTTCTTTCTTTTTGCAGGTTTTTTGATGCATCACCGTCCTACCATATGCTAATATTTTCAGCATTACCCAGAAAATAGTAAACACTTTGAGCGGGCGACCTCATCAGCAGTCTTGCACCTGCACCAGCTTCTGCCATGGCCCACCCTTACGAGCCTTGGTTAAGGACAGCACCACCAAGTGGCAGCCCAGAAGACATGAACATCCCCTCCTGGTGGGACCTCCACAGGGACGTCCAGTCAGGGAGCTGGATAGACCTGCAGACAGGGCAGGGTGTCAGCTTGCCTTCAATAAATCCAGGGAGCTCCATGGGGTTGCAGCACTCTTTAGGGCCCTACGGATCTGACCCGCAGCTGTGCACCCTGCCTCCAGCTCAACTCGTTCAAGCCTCACACTCATCTCACCTCTTCCCCCAGGATGCCTTCAAGATGGAGCCACTGGCCCCTGATATGCTGCAGCAAGAATCGTTCTCCCTGGAGGAACCACAGGAGAACCCCGTCTCAGCCCGCCCCAAACCCCAGCGCCGCTCCACTCCCAGAGGCGGCGGCCAGGCTGCGTGTCGCTGCCCTAACTGCGTCCATGCTGAACAGCTGGGCCAGAGCACTGACGACAGCAGGAGGAAGCACATGCATAACTGCCACATCCCTGGTTGCGGCAAAGCATACGCCAAGACCTCCCATCTGAAGGCACACCTAAGATGGCACAGCGGGGACCGGCCGTTTGTCTGCAACTGGCTCTTCTGCGGCAAGAGATTCACACGCTCTGATGAACTGCAGCGACACCTTCAGACACACACTGGTGCTAAGAAGTTCAGCTGCTCATTATGTCCTAGAGTGTTTATGCGTAATGACCACCTGGCCAAGCACATGCGCACACATGAGTCCCCGCCAGGACATGGGGAGGAGAGGGTAAATGGAGACGGGAGGATGGATAAGGGCTTTGATACACCTAAGCCTCCTCAGTCCTCCTCCAATGTGTCTGCGTCTGACACCACAGAGCCTCCGCTGAAGCTGAAATGTGAGACAGACCCCTCAGTCTCAGGCGTGACAGGGCAGTCTGGCTAATTTCATCACTTTTAGAAGATTTTTATTGCAGTTAAAGGTGAACATTTGTTCCCCTCTCAGTCATTGAGGCGTAATAGTTTTACAATAGAATAGAGAATAGAAAAAAGGTTTGGACAAACTTTCTCTGATGAAAGTTGGATGGAACAGAGAGTGTGTTCATCTGTCGTCCTGTGAATTTATCAAGTGAGCTAACTCAGTGATAATCTAAATGTTATAGCACACAGAAAAAAAGGAATTTTACCTATTTTGTGGCTACAACTTTACTCTGTTTACTTAAAATGGAAGGTGGCTAAAGGATTGCTGCCTGAGCTACAAATACCAGCAGACCAAGAGACTGGGATGAGATTAACTGAAGGTGGCTCGTTAACTCGTTTACAATGAAATTAATCAAATGTGTTACTGGACGTTTTGGAGAAATGTTTGACTCCAACACAGTTTAATATAACAATTTCAAAGGCAGCATGCTTTTGAATGGAGAAAAGAGACAGTGATACTTTTTGTCTCAAACTATCACCATATGTGTGTGTAGCCTACTGTGCAAGTTGTGATAAGACACTGGAATATAATACAGCATTTTGTAATTTAAAAAGGACAATAGCTATTTGGAAGGTTGAAGGTTCATGCCACAAAACTGTGTGTATGTTGGTATGCAATGATAATATGATAATATAATATAAAAAAGGGAATTCCATGCACTACAAAGGCTCGTATTTACCAAAGAATTGTGTGTTTCTGTTGCCACCGTAGTTATGATGGTAAAACACTTATTAATACGAATAATCACACAGTAGGAGAATGTGAACGTTGGTTTTAGGTTACCAGACGGACCACAGCAATGCAAAGAAACAGGAATTAAGTGTGATGATGATGTGAAAAGAGTAAACTCACAGATCACAACTAATTGAACCTAAAAATGAAAAGTGGTCAGAGCCGCTGAGGACATAATGTGATGCCCTCCACTTCTGGCACGTAAGAACAAGAGAGAAAGCTGAGCTGCATGATCATTAATGCTGGACATGGAGAAAAAATGCTGCATGGGCAAATTCATCTTTTTGCTACAAACACGACACCACAGGTCCGTCACTACAGGCTGCTGGTGCAGCTGAATGAAACTCAGTTGGGTTGTTTACTACAGTGGCCTCTGCAGTCACAAGATGTAAAGCTACACTAATCACAATTTCAATATTAACAAAGGAAAACATTTGCCTGAGTAATGAACTCTCAGAGTATTATCACTAAACTCTGCAGCTCTACTGAGTACACTATTTACCGTTTTAGTTCAGTCTCACCGTTCTCATCAAAATCTTTACATGGTGATGAAATGTCAAAGTTTTATACACAGTTAGTTCTGCTGCCATCAAGTGGCCAAAAAGAAAATCCGCTTTTAATATCCCAAATGTGCAACAGAAAATCTTAAAAGAGCGATCCTTAAATTCATATCTGAAAAGGTTCAGGCGGTGGTTGAAGCAGTAGGTTGTCCTATGAACACTATCTAGGTGTACCTCATTAAGTGGGTTTATACAGTTCTTCCAAATATCATCAGCTTGATAACTATTTGCATGTCTGATCAAGCTGTAGTCCCAATCATCAACAAACAATATGTGAAGGGTTTGTCTCTCAACACATTTCATTCAGAGCTGTTGGTGTGTCTGCAGTTTTTCCATGTTCACTGACACTCAACTCATTCAACAAAACACTTTTTGAAACATGTCTCTGAATTAGCAGAGAACGACTGTGTTTTCATTGTAGTTAATGGAAGAAAATACAGTTTAACAACGCAAGCATCAGAATTTGTTTAGCTTACTTGTTTGGAATAGTCAACTTTCATAATCAATAATATGTGATCAATAGTTCTGTAGCAAGCAGTGTAGGCAGCTTTACAGTTTAAAACACTATTAGGATGTATGTAACCCATCACAGACACTAGGCTGCGATTTCTATATATTTAGGGAGTTTGCATTATTGGAGGCTCACAATTGTTGTATTTATGTATAGGAGATAAGATATGGAAGACTGCTTAAACATTAGTCAATTGACTATTTCTATTATTTCTAATAATAGAAATAGTCTTCTTTTATGTTGGTCGGTAGAACAAAATGGACAACTTTGTTTTAATTTGTTGATGTAGTGAATGTTTAGTTGACTGTAATAAAATATGTTCTAAAACGTTTAATAAGTTAAGTATCATGGTGTTATAACTTGTATTTAATCTATTATTGTCCTTTAAATAAAACAAAACTATATTCTGTGCCCATGTTGAACCTTTTTTTAACCAAAAGATGTGCTAATTGTCAATTATTCTTTCCAGTTTAATTTGTACTCACAACAGCATTATTATTATTATTATTATTATTATTATTATTATTATTATTATTACCAGTAGTAGTAGTAGCAGAATAACAAGTAAGTTGGATTTCTTTAGACCCTGTAAATGTTTGTATCATATATCACATATTACATAACATTTTTTACACAATTAGATGTGGTATTAGAATCCCAAGTTAAAAACATAAGTGTGGTCTTTGGAGTGGTCTGCTGGGGCAGCAGCATCTCGACAGCCGACAGGAAGAGACTAAACAAACTCATCAAGAAGGCCAGCAGTGTGCTGGATACGGTGGAAGTGGTGGGAGACAAGAGGATGATGGCTAAGATATCATCCCTGATGGACAACACCTCCCACCCCATGCTGGCTGCTCTGTGTAGCTCCTTCAGCCACCGGCTGATTCACCCACGGTGTGTGAAAGAGAGGTACCGCATGGTCCTTCCTTCCTGCTGCTGTCAGGCTGCACAACCAGCTGTGCTCCCAGTAGACCACACAACACTAAAACATCTGTGCAATATAAATACACTGTGCAATACAACAATTATTCTGTCTATATATATAACATTTTTAGTTTTTAGTTATAGTTATATTTTAGTTATTGTGGATTTTACTTAGTTAATATTCTTTACAGTTTATTATTTATTTACTTATTTATAATACTTTTTTTGATACATTGTTTTTTACTATGTCTCTTGTTTGCACTATCCACTATGCTGCTGTAATCCTGTACAATTCCCCCACTAATCTTATCTTATTTTATAAGGATGATCCATACAGTATGTGCAACTAATTAACAACCATCAAAGCACGTACATTGACATAAAGCTCATTTTTACGAACTGCGACCATAACAACTAGAAAGTCACGTCGAGCCATATCGCTGACTGTTTATTCCGGTTTACTCGCGACGATGACGCTGTAATGTCAGGACCTGACGATAGGCGCGTGAAGGCACTGTGAGCTGGAACCGGAAAGAGAATTATACAAAACAGGAAGTATACAAAACACATAACACACACGTCTCGGTGGCTCCATTTTCTTGCTAGCGTTGAACTTTCGTTGTTCCACCTTTTATAGTATAGACAGATTTGTCTTTTTCCATTTATTGCTGGATTGAAACGACGACTTTTCCAAGATGGGGGGAGGCGATCTGGTAAGTATGAGTTAAGTTATCCTGAACAGCTTTCTGTTTAGAGATGGTTGATAAAACTCTGTTTAGAATATGGGTTTAAAGATGTTCGCTTGCTTACTGTTTTCTACATAACATTAGCTGTTACAACATGAGGTGATACCTACTAGGAATAGTTACGAGCCACAGTTCAGCAATACTCACTTTAACTTCGGTCTTATCTTATTCTTTTTATTTTAATAGCTGTTGCAATAGATAATAGCAAGTAGCGTAATGGCTAGTTTGCGTTAGCTTAAGGTCAACTGACTGAGCAGCTATAACAGTTTACTTTATTAGTCATGTTAACACAAGGCCAACGGTACAATGACATGTATTTGACGAGTGAATGGGTCTGCTCACCAGTAAAAAGTAACGTTAGTCGCAACAGAATCACCCGAATTATACAGATAAATATATATATATATATATATATATATATATATATATATATATATATA